TTTTGTTTGCAGTTTTTGTTTTCAGTTGCTGTAAACAACAAAGTGCAAATCAAAACACTTATATATAATATATAGTTACGGACAGGTGATGAACAACAATCCTCCCTTGCCAGCAGACAAGCAGATTGCTCAACTGCTCCTTACCGGTAGGATATTTGCTTGTTACCTCTCAAAACGTGGAACAGAAAAATCTGCTTCTTACTGTTGTCCCCAGACATTGGGTCACTTTTTCAATTGTTTCGGTATAGTTTTGTTGTTTTCGGTCTGTTCAAAGTTCCGACTGTGTATATGCGCACAAACCTGCAAGAATGAATCGAGAAATGCAATTTCCCCGACACGAGCAAATTGATGATGTGCCCCGCATACAGTCTGAATGGCACTCACTCCATTCAGTGTACAATATTTTTCCTAATGGGTATCATGTAGAGGGGTTTAGGATTTTGCCAGCCCAAAGTGAAGAAACCATGTTTGGATCTTGGTTTTGCATTTTTTTTGTGGTTTTTTGTTTCGCCGTGACCCTTTCGTGTTGCAACTATCTCCCAAATTTTCTTTACAAAACAACACTTTTGACACTGTTTTGGGTTCCAAAAACAGCAACCCTTCTAGACACATTATTCTAGTTTGATTCAGTTTCTGCTTTGTGGCCCTGCCATTTCTTGAAATTGTTTCGCAAAAAAATTCCAACTTTCAAGCAACTTGGCAGTCTGCTTATTACAGGCGTGGAGGTCAACTATAATGCATGCTTTCAAGCATTTGTAGGTTCCTGGGACTGGTGTTCTCTATTTTTCCGGCAATTTCTCTCATAATTCCCACATATATAGCTTGTTACAGGTCTGATTCCTGGGTCCCCCATTCCAGCAGATAAGAAACGTTTTTGAGGTTTTTTGGGGTGTGATAAACATATTTTTTTTCTGCTTATAACCCGTCCCCGACTATACCTTCCATAAATGCGCAGTTTTTTCAGCACAACGGTTTTTTGGCAAAAACGAAACATGTCCCACTTTGTGCTGCTCTCAGTGCAACCAAGAGGAAAAACAAGGGTGGACATGTTCAAATTCACGCTTGTTGACATGAAGTGTGTGTGGTTCAGGTGCGGACACCATCTCCGAGACGCAGGAACCCCGAGGTCGGCGCCATATTTTAGATTTGGAATGAAGAGGCAACGGAACAAACACATCGCCATTAAGGGAACACAATTTCGTAACATTTTCTTTGTGCTTTTGATGTGAACAAATTTGAATGCTGAGGATTTTGATGTGGCATCGCTCACACCGACACAGGAACCTGTTTCACTTGGGCAGTGATTGAATTTTGGCAAAACAGCAAAAATGACACAGTCCTTCCAGGATTTCCAGGCCATTGCAAGCAAACAAGAAAGGATCGTGGATGTTTTATTTCGTTAAAAATCTGTTCATTGCAGGAGTTTGTTGAGAACCAGTTGTCCACAAGTCCAAGTGGTTCTCCAGGCATGCAACATTGACGTCGTGTTTTTCGTTTGAAAGGATATTGTGTCAATCCATTGTCATTGTGAGTGTTTGTGTTTAAACATTTCATCTAGACACATGATGCCGCGTGCCACTTGGAAGGTTTGTTGGATCGGATCTATGAACGGAAACGAGCAGCACTTGTGGATCTGAATAGAACTGCAGATGCACCTCCGCGCCGGCGATTGCGCCGAGGAGATCCACAAGAAAACTCGGAAGAGAAGGTGTCGGTTCAGCGTTTTACTTTGGTCAGCCGGGGTGCACCACCTGTCAGGCGTCAAACAGCTCAACATGAACTACTTCGAGTACCTCCCAGGGATTCAGCGAGTTTGGGGGATGAAATTCACGTTTGCCGCTGTTCAGACTGCGACAAACATGGTGTTCGCCGACGGCTAAGTGGGCGGCGCACTTGTCGCAGGGACACGGAATCACATCCAGAATACTGCCTCTTGTTGAATTTGACCGATCGCTTCGAGGAGGAATGCCACAGAGAAAATGCTGATTTGGTCAACGAAGCGTGCTGTCGTGAGAAGAGTGCGTTTTTCATTCTCGGTCCAGGATCCACTGCAGTTGGATATGTTGCAGCTGAAGTGGCAGCGAATCGAAAAGTCCGCGGGCTGCAAGAGTCCGACCACGATGACAGAACTCCTTTTGTCACACAGATCTACGTGGAACCCGAGTTCCGCAAGCAGGGCTATGCGAGTCAGGCATTGTTTTTGCTCTTGAGAGATCATGGAGAAGTCAAGGTCGATGCCTTTAGCTCAGTCTTGCGACCAGAATTGTGCATTTCCTATTTGGTGGTTGACTTTGCTGTGATAGCACCTGTGAGATCAATGGAACCCTCGTTAATCCGAGAAATGCCAAGGGACCTTCTGACATCATCTCGCACATCCTCAAGGGGCAAGGCTTCCTGTGTGCTGGCAGCAAGGAGGCCGGGTCAACTTGTTTTTCATATTCTTTACGAAACCGGACTGTGCTTTCAATGTCTTTCAACAAGTCTTTCAATCGGCAACAATTGTATGCTGAAAAACAATTGGTGCATCCAACGGGGTTGAACAAATGTGGTTCACACATAGTCGACATAGTGCGTCCTGACTCCTGGAAGGGGACAGATGGACGACCGATTGTGGCTTTCGCTCGCGAGGGTATCAATGTATGAGGGCATTGCTGGGACTTTGCCATGTAGGATCATGTAGGGCTGTAGGGAATGAAAAGTCGGAGCAATTCAACCAGATATGTGGAGGGTAAGTGACTCTACATTGCATTTGATGACTAATTTGTGCCTGCAATTGGCACAGCTTGCAAGGCCCAAATGGTACCTGTACAGCTCCGGATTGAAACTCGTATGTGTACTGCTTGCCATCCTTTGCGTGCAGCAGTAAGCTAAGCCAATGTTTCTGACAAATGCAGAGAGTCTGACGACAAGAAAAGAAGATTACACAAGTACTACACAAGCTGTCCTTGTTCTTCTGGACCAGATGCATCAGTTAGGGCAGTTTTGCGTCCTTTACGCCCTGAAGTGCATCGGACAGTTCCTGCTCAAGGAAACAACAAGTCATCAAACAGTTAAACAGGCAGACACCAGGATACCCACAGTGCTTACAGTGCAGTGAGAAATTGCGGAGTGCAAAGTGTAACGTGTAAAGTATGGAGTATAGAGTGAAGAGTGTAGAGTGTAAAGTGTAGTGTGTAAAGTGTAGAGTGTGGAGTGTGGAGTGTGGAGTGTAAAGTGTGGAGTGTGGAGTGTAAAGTGAAAAGTGTGGAGTGTAGAGTGTAGAGTGTGAAGTGTAGAGTGCAAAGTGTAGAGTGTGGAGTGTAAAGTGTGGAGTGTGGAGTGTAAAGTGTGCAGTGAGGAGTGAGGAGTGCAAAGCGTAAAGTGTAAAGTATGGGGTGTAGAGTGAAGAGTGTAGAGTGTAGAGTGTAGTGTGTAAAGTGTAGAGTGCGGAGTGTGGAGTGTAAAGTGTAGTGTGTAAAGTGTAGTGTGTAAAGTGTAGAGTGTGGAGTGTGGAGTGTGGAGTGTAAAGTGTAAAGTGTAAAGTGCAGAGTGTAATGTGTAGAGTGTGGAGTGTAAAGTGTGGAGTGTGGAGTGTAGAGTGTAGAGTGTAAAGTGTAGACTGTAAAGTGTAGAGTGTATAGTAAAGTCCAGACTGTGGAGTGTGGAGCGCGGAGTGTAAAGTGTAGAGTGTAAAGTGTAGATTGTGAAGTGTAGAGTGATGTGTGTATGTCTGTCTGTGTCTGTCTCTGTATGGGAGGGAGGTGACAGTTGGCTACGCGAGGTTATGGGGAAGCATGGGAGCAACTTTCTGCCATTTAGCGGCCCTTCGGTCGGCTATTGAATTTCTCTTCTGGGATCATTGGGAAACGGCCGGTTTGGGCCAAATCCTAGCCGGGAGGTCACGGGAGGTCACGGGAGCAAATTTCTGCCATTTGGCGGCCCCTCGGCCGCCTATTGAATTTCTCTTCTGGGATCATTGGGACATGGCCGTTTTGGGCCAAATCCTGGCCGGGAGGTTAAGGGAGGTCATGGGAGTTACGGAGGAGGAAAACAGAGGAACGTGGAGGAACGGCAGGAAAAAGGTTTGAAAAAAACGGAAGAATATGAAGGAAAATCGTTAAAAGCAGCGGGAAAACGGAGGAAAATGGAGGAACTCCGAAGCTCAACGGAGAGCAGCGTCCGTTGGGGTTCGGAACAAGGTAGTTTGCAAGGGGATGAGAAGTGATACTGAGGAAGGGGGGCGAAGGGTTGCAAAGCAAGGAGAAAGTCTTCCAAAGGTGCTGCAGATGGTTTGGGCTTCTGTTCATATGGGATTGTAAGAGGACGTTTGGGGACTTCGATCATGGCCTACGCTACCACGACATCTCTCTGCGGAAACAAAAAAAATTCGGGCTCGGGGCTGGCTTTCGTCCCCCCTTCTCAGGTTGGTTGTTTTTTTGGTTTGATCTGCGTAAAAGGCTTCTGGGTGCATCATAGGGACTTCAGAACCGCATCACCAGAAAGGTAACCGGAATCATCCCAAATAGGTAAATCAGGTATGGATAGTGAATTTTGTATGATTTGCCCAAACGTTGGGAAATAGGAATTGAGGCGAATACGGCCTCAAGTGCGGGCGAGGGACGACACAAACACAATCAAACACACATGTTTTGTTTTTGTCGTGACAGTGGTTTGCAGCGGCGCGGCATTCCAGTTGGAAGTTTCTAGCGGAATGATCTGCAGCAAGATCGTACACGGATGGGGCCCTCCAGAGTGTGGCAAACATGGTCACATAGATTCTCTCAGAGCGGGGTGAACAGTTCAATTCCTGTTTGTAAAGGAGACAACACAATTTGCGCAAGTGCTTGTTCTTTCGGACCAGATGCATGAACCCTGGGGTACTATATGCCCGAGCTGGCTCAAGAGAATGAGTCATCAAACAGGCAGCACATCCACAGTAAGACCTTACGGCCAGTAGGTTATGTAGTTTTTTGAAGCACTTTTCCATTTCGAACTATATAACTGAATCCTTTGCTACACCCCAGACATTCTGCTGGGTTGTCGGTGCACTTGAGCAATGCAGCAGGCATGTCCCAGGTGGGAGCCATGGAGCCATGCAAGAGCCAATAGAATGCCAGAGAAATAGAATGCTTTAAAGACAGTCACCAATCATATCACGGTGATCTCGTTGTCACTCCAGGTTGTTATGTGTTTGCGTCATAATGCATTCTGAAGGCGTACTGTAGCCTTTTGTTCAGGCCAGGCAAATTGGTTGGTTGGATTAGTCCAGGAGGGTTCCTCTTACATCAGGAAATGTTGAGTGGAAAAACATGCCAGGCTAAAACCGGCCTCGGTAAGCTGCAGGCGCAAACTTGGGGAGTCCATGGGCGCAAAGACACCTCAGGTACACCTCCAAATCGACAAGACTCCCAGACATATTTTGATCGTGAAGCGATGCTTGCGGTGTATGCAGGTGCCGCAGACCGGTGGCATCCTCATCTCAATGTCAGCATACCACGTTGCAATGTTTTGGGCAAACGCAAACAGTTTCCATTTGCCACCAGTTTCTTCTAACTTCGGCTCAGCCATGTAAGGCATCTTGATTCCATCCCAATTTTGGATAGGAAAATAAACAACATAGAATCATCGAAAATCCCAATCGTGTGTTGCTTTTGTCAGGTGATAGGCTGTGCCACACTGATGCACTGAGGAGCTGCAGCTTCGAATGCTCCCTCGCGCAGCAGTTCTAAGAAATTAACGCGATCGGGTTCCAAGTTGGGTGGTCCCAAAGGCTCCAAGGCATCTTCGAAGCAACCCAGGTGCCAAAGGGGTCTTGTGAGGCTGGATGATGTTGGTCAGTAAAACAAACAAAAAAAAACAAACCAAACCAAACTTGTGCCATTGCAAACAATTTCGTCTGATTTTCAACAATCCTCAATTGGCGTTATGATGGGGTTTGCTGCGTTACTCTTCGTCCAGTCTTATGCAATCTTCAGCACACATATTGGCGACTTAAAACTTCTTGGGAGGTTTAAGTCGCCATCATGCACTCCATTCAAGGATGACAGTGCACTGTCTTTTTCTGGGTTGAGAGTCATGCATGTGTAGGTGCATGTACAGCAATGATATGTCATATGGTGTTGAAAAATGCAGGTAATGCTGTGAACTGTTGGGCTAACATCAAAGCAACTTTCTCTTAAATTTTCTTGTGGCCAACTGTGAGAATCACCTGAGATCCATTTCAAGGAGATCACTCTTGTTGTACTTGGAAGTTTCGACTTCACATCCATTGTGGTGTGCATTGCCCCCTGGGATTAAGATGCCACACTGGGCAAAGAGATCAGTTTTTTTGGTTAACAGTTGACACGACTCTTTGAATCGTTCATTTCATATAGATCCATCAACATAATAAAGTATCCACAAAGACCTAAAGATCCATAAAGATCCATGAAGATCTATGAAGATCTATGAAGAATGGCAGATTCTCCACGTGGCAAACGGTCGCTTTCCACCCCCCAGCACCGTGGACGATGCGGATCGCCTCCCTGGCGGCTGGGTGAGTTCCGCGGAGCGGCGGTTTGGAGGGCCAGCTACCGTAGGGTGTTGGTGTCTCTTGAATGGTCCAAACATGTACTAACAAATACTAACAACATGTAATAACATCCAATAACATCTTATAAACATATGTTGGGCAATAACTATGATATGATGGGAATAACGGAATAACTATATGGAATAGCTATATTATATTATATATGATTTATTATTATATTATGGTAATAACTCTGACAATTAATGAAAACTGGATGTAAATCTGATGGCATTTGTGGATCCTGGAACTGAGAAGCAACAAACCAGAGGCGCCGGAAGTGCAATCATCAGCCAGGAAGTGCACCACGATGCAAGTTTGGTCCAAAAACTTTGAATCTACTGAATCTACTGTCTTCTAGTATCCCATGAGGATTTGCCAAGATGGAAAATGATGGAACCACATGAAAGTTCAATGTTTTAAGTTTGAACCATATTGATTCTTCTTTGCTCACTGTTTGATTGCTCACTTTCTAGCGGTCCAACACTGCATGCATTCTGCATTCACTTCAGCAGTGTAGCAACTCCAGGAGCGTTACAAGTTCTTGCAGAAGGCTGGATCTCTTTGTTCCCAAAAATGATGCTCCACCTGCACAGACTCATGACTCATGGCAGGGCAGAGAGAATTGCATGGTCAATCATCAAACTTGAAAGATCTTGAAGTTGGAAAAGGTCCGTCGCGATGAAGGCTACAGAGAAAACGAGATACTTGGAAAGCATCATGAGGGTCATGGGGCCCCATGGGGTGCTTTGTGATGGCTCCGGAAGGTGCTTCTCTGTTTGGGTTTCCCGGAGCATTTCCTGCCAGATTGGACCAGATCCCAAGGAGAGAAGAGCGCCTGGAGGCTTTGATGGAGGCTCCGTGACCTGCACCAGTTGAGCAGTGTCCCCCCTGTTGGTTGATGATGGTAGGGTTCTTTAGCACCCAATCTATTGGGGATATAGTTTGTCATAGTTTATCATAATCCATTCTGGGAATCCCGTTTTGAGCGTGATCTTAGGCGAGAACACACGCCCTGCGTCTGCAGAATTGTTGGCCGCTCTGGGAGGATGAACAGGCGATGCGGGGATCTTGGGGCTGTTTGTAGTCCGATTGTTTCCAAACAACCAGGAAAATTCGAAAAATTCGAAAAACATGTGAAACAATGTGAAACAATGGTGTTGGATCCGGATAGCCTCCACTCGATGTGCAATGCAAGCTGTGCCAGGTTCGCAATAGTCTACTTGATGCGATCCAAGCACCCAATCCTGAGAGGGGCAAAAGTCTCTATGTGGATGAGGTGTCTCGAGTCCCCATTTGATTTGCCATGGTCAATGCGTTCTTGAGAAATTTGTCAGTGCACAAGACCTGCAATCCAGACTTTGATGGCCAGAATGCTCTCGTATCAGGGTCCGCCACCGAACCATCCTTCGGTGCGGACAGCTGCACTTGGCATTCTGGCATCGAACTTAGCCTAAGCAATCACACAGAAAACTAGCAAGTGAATGCACATGAGAGTGAGCAGAACATGTCTAAATGATCGTGTTGCCATGGCCTGCCATTTCAGCCTATGACAGCGATGCACATGGTGGCGTGGGGTTGCGAAGTCTGACATAGCCTGACGTCCAGTGAATCAAATCAGTAGATTTGCAGGTAGTGTTTTTTTATTTTTTTCGCTGCCCTGACAAATCCAAGGTGCAGCTGGCCTTAGATGAGGCAGTTCGAGAACACATGGCGCAAGATACACTGCTGAGAGAGAGTTTGGCCGCTTGTCCAAGAGAGAAACTTTTTTGGATTTGGATCGTTGGAGATGATTGTTTCAGATATTTTCTGACATTGACATCTCATCAGGACGCTGACCCCAACTCAACCAGTCAGTCTTCATTGATTCTGCATGATTCTACCATGTTTTGCAGTTTTTTTGGCCTTTCCAGTGGTCACCAGTGGTCACCAACAGCTCAAGCTGAACAGGTCGAAGCCTTGCACCTGGAGCCGCCGGTGGCCGAAGCCGCCACGGAGGCCACGGTGGAGGCCACGGCGGAGGCGTCCTCGCGGCCTGGGACAGGGACGGCAGGCCGGGTGCGGATGGGTGGCATCAATGGAAGGGGAACATGGGAACAAACTTTTGAACAAACCGAATATCACTGGATCAAACTGAGCAACATGAGAAGTGCAAAATGTATCACGCGCGGACTGATCATGTCACAAGGTCACGGCGAACAGTGACCAAAATGTATCAAAATGTGCAAAGCAGATCTTTGTCATGAATTCTGGACTTTTCCAGAGTTCAACGTGCAGGTCAAAAAGATGAGGCCGAGGCGGCTCAATGTCTATCACGTGTTGAAACGGAATCGCAAATTGAGTTGTAGTCTTCAACAGCAGTTGGTGTCAGCTGATTCATGCAGGACTTGACACCGCCGATACCTGTCCAGAGCCGTGCCCAACAGCTGCTGGCAATGCTGGTGCCTGTCAGAGCTTGTGTTCGGACCCCGGCTATCCCTGTATGTGGAAGCAGACTCTCAATCTGCCACCGAGCATTCCCACAATAGTGCGGAACTGGTCATCCAGACCACAACTTGTGATTTGTGGTGATTGTCTTTGTCTCAGCCATGGGAAAATCTCAAGTCCCAAGGTCGAAGAACTCTCAAAAAGCAATTCGCTTTAATTTGTGCCCCAGATATGGCTGTGGACAATGGATTGACAATGGACCATAATGGGGAAAAGGAGGCCCGAGCCGCTGGGGCAGCTCGCATGCGCAAGGCTTTACTAAGCTCTATGTGCCAGGAATGTCAAGAGGAAATAAAACCTGGAGATGACATCTATCCAGTGGAGGGTGGAGCTGGTCTAAAGCGAAGCTCACTTTGCTGGTTGCACTTAGCTTGTGCTGAACGCTTGGGCTCACCACCTGTGCCCCCATGCAAACATTTTCTGCGAAGTGGCCTTTGTCAATACGGCGGAAGCTGCTTTTTCGCACACCCCGAGGAGGCTGGAAAACTGGCTCTGGAACGCCAGCAGCTAAGGCGTAGCAGGCCGAATGCCAAAGTGGCAAATCGAGGTGATGGAAGGAGGAATGGTGTGAAGAACTACAGCAAGTCATCAGTCCTTCGGAGGTGGCTTTTGGAGAATGTGGGCATTGAACAGTTGCGGTCAGGTTATGTGCTGGATGTTGCGGGTGGGAAGGGCGAGCTTGCCTGGGAGCTGCTGAACCTGAACCTGGTTGAAGCCCTGGTGCTGGACCCAAGGCCCCTTGATTTGAAAACGGTCGAGCGGAAGTGGCGTCATGGCCTGTTCTGGCGAAATCCGATCTTCCACAGTTTTTTGCACTGCACATTTGATGGCACAAAGGAGTCCAAGGTGCCACAGCACTCACGACTGCTTCTGACCGACAACATGGTTGCGTCATTGGGAAACGCCTCAGACTTGGTAGCAGCCTTTGAGGAATCCAAGAAAAGAGCCATGGAACTCAGATGGACCAGGAAAGGTTTAGTCCATGAAGGACATGAAGGACATGAAGGACATGAAGAAGAAGCAGATGAAGTTGAGGATGTCGATCCTCAAGAAATGGAAGTCGCAGAGTGTGACACAGGCTCCAATTCTGCCAGTCTTGCAGACATTGTGTATGGCTGTAGTGTGGTAGTAGCTTTGCATCCAGACCAAGCAGCAGAAGCTTCGATACGGTTGGCACTTGACCTGCAGAAACCCTTTGCAGTGGTGCCTTGTTGCGTCTATGCAGCGGAGTTTCCAAAGCGCAAGCTGAAGGGCAATCCGGTCAGGAGCTACCATGAACTCTTGGAATACCTGCAGCAAATGGATCCTAGGATCCAACGCACAGATCTCGACTTTGAAGGGAAAAACACCTTGTTGTTCATGACTCCTGATGACTGGAAGCTGACAGAAAAGTTGTCACCCAGCTCCGCTGACATGGACCTTGCCGTGGTAGAAAAGTTGGCGCTCTTACTTGGTCTTGCCTAGTGGTTCTGACAGTTTTGACAATACTTTCTGTTTTGACGTGCTTGAAGCTGATCCTTTTTCCATTCAGAGTTTGGAAGCACTGACACACTGGCCAAACTCCAAGACTTGGTACCCATGCAATTACCACGAGGCCAAAGCTCTTCGGCGACCTGCTGATGCTGGTATCTTTGCTGATATGGCTAGCTATGATAAAGACTGAAGATCCTCAAAGCCTACGCATTTGTGTCCAAGTCAATTCCGAGTCGCCAGTTTCATTTTGCTGCAGTGCGCTGGAATTGGAAGCATTACATCATTACCTTTTTTGTTTACACAAAGTGGAGCTTGGGTGTTTTGGGCCACTAGGTTTCACAGTGGAAGAAGATTTTGACTATGTTTGGATGGAAGAAAGTGAAGAGGAGGAGATTAAGGAGGCCACGCCCGGCAAAGTTGCGGCCTGGCAAGACCACAGAGCCCCAAAACCCCCAGAGCTACAGCCGCTTAAAAAACGCCAGGATGATCCCATTGTTGAAGTCCTCTCGGAGGCTTGGAGTCACGGTCCCCTTGAGACTTTGCTGTTAAGCTGGAGACTAAAGATCACAAGTTCCATGGGAAATTGTTGGTCTTCGGGGGATTTCGGGGGATTTTCCCATGATTTTGGATGATTTTGATATGTTTTCCATTGTTTTCCATTGTATTCCATTTTCCATTATGTTTTGGCTTCAGGCGGGCCAGGAAGATCAATCCACTCAAGTGGAAGGACTGGAACCATCTCGCAGCCTTCAAGTGCATTTCCATGGCTGCAGGACATGCCACTTCCTTACAGCACCAGCCCCCACAGTACCCCACAGTGAAATGTTGGATTGTCAGGAACGGATGAGCCTGCCAAAGTTGAAATGCGGAGCCTCAGCAGTTTTCTTTTGTTGTCTGTGAAGACTTAATTCAAGGCATATTCCATCGAGCACACCGACAATGACGGCAAACTCAAAATCCAAGCATTCTTGTTGTGAAAATGGGGATGTTCCAAAATCTCCAATCCCATTGTGTTCCCCAACTACTTTGCTAATATCTACTAATCACACTAACCTGGGCCAACCTCAGATTTTTTCGTTTGGACCGGGCCACCACTGCTGCCCTTGACGAATCGCCGAGGCAGGACGCCGAAGGTGATGCTTCAAGCCAAGGTGATCCAGATGCCTTGTTGGCAGAGGTTGAGGCTCGATGCTGCGTCAACTTCAGGCTGTTTCTGGATGGACATCTTTTTGTATTAGCATGATGTACCAATGATCTACCAATGATGTGGCCTTTGGCATCCTTTTGCTATTGGGTGATAGATTTGTGTCCAAGTGATGTAACTAGCGTGTGCACTTGGGCTGTGCACTTGCTGTCAAGGATATCCTCTATGCAAAGAAGCCCTCTTCGGACCAGGATTTGCTGGATGTACTGCTCTAAGTTTTGGATTCGTCCCACAACTGCAACAGCTACAAGGTTGATGTAACCCGCATGAGTTTCATGATGTGTGAGGTGCTTGCAATGACTGCATGTCCGCCCAATCCGAAGGAAGGGATGGTGCATGAATGATGCCTGTTGCTTCATCTCAGCAGCGTACAGCTGGTTTATCTCAAAGTCATTTCCGAATTTCTGAGGTGAGGTTCGTTGAATCAAGTTGAATCGAGTTGAATCAAGTTGAATCAAGTTGAACAATCAATTTGAATCAAGTTGAATCAAGTTGAATCTCCTATTCTCAGTATTTCTCAATGATAATCCCCACGTTCCTGGTTCGTGCAATCTCCTGCAGCTTGGGATTTCGGAGAGGAGCTGCAGCAGTTGCCCCCCTGGCGCCCTGGAGCAGCCCAAAGCCGACGGCGCAACCTGGGATTGGCTGGGTGGCGCCGGTGTAGGGGAGGAGTTGGATGCTGATCGTGGTGGAAATGCAGATTTTGGCTTGAACATCATGCTCGAACTTGGTCGGTTTGAGTCCCAATCAACATCATTGTTTTTTTTTTAAGGTTGCAAGTTGCAGGTGAAAAGAATGGAACGTGTCCCATTGACAGGTTGGACACACTGTGGACTTTTGCGGCCACCCGCAACAATGCTGAGAACACTCGGTTGTGGCGATGTGACAAGGCTCGCCCGAAGCAGTTCAAGCAGTCAGCGATGTGTCTCGACAATGTTGCAGATGGATGCAAATGGACCGTGACGAGGGGATGACATTGGACAATTTAATGATTCTAACATTCTATTTGATTTTCTGTATTCAAACCTTTGACGAATACCAAAAATGCACAACAATGATTTGTAATGCGAAGGAAAATTTGCTTACACGCATTTGCAGCGTTATTCAATAAAGCTTAGATGACTGGACTGGACAAGAGCAGACTTCGAGAGGGACCAAAAAACTGTGGGGTCAGCTCTGCCACTCTGCCACTGTAACCTTCACTGCCATGACCCTTGCCATGCCTCGAGAGGTGCGCGATGCCTTGCTCTCAAGCGCAGAGGCTGGGGTTGTTTCAATCACTGGATGAATCTTGGAATGGATTTATTATGATTTACATGGATTGACCGATTGACCGGACACATTTCAGAGAACACATTCAGAGCTGAAAGTGACCCAACCAGACTGCGTGAGAATCAGTTCCTTGGGTGCTTTGACAGCCCTGATGGTGCCAAGCTCTGGAAGTTTGACTCCGCAGATGGCAACCCGCTACACCGCTACAGCATGACCTTGGTGGTCCAAAAATCCCAAGGCACGTGACGAGAACAAGATCTCAATGTGGGAAGACGAGGGTGTTCGAAAGGCCTGAGGGTCTTTCCTGGCTTTGTCACCTTGAATCTTTCAACAGAAGATCTACATAAGTCAGGATCCTAGAAACCGCTTTTATTATGTTTTTAATCACTTCTATATTTTTGGGGTTCTCAGATCTAAACTGGTGGGGCAAATACCCCAAAGATGATATGATGTGAGGCCTTCGTTTTGGGGGCCTCCGAGCAGATCTCAGCCCCACTGGATGATGCGACCGGCGCGGGTCTTTGATTTGATGCGGCCTGCAATCCTATCTTATCTATCTTTACACAATCCACATTCATTGCGATGGAACGAAACCCACCACATTCACTGCTCAAGTTGTCTGCCTTTTTCCCAGGAATCACACTTCATGACTTCGCCAATCAACTCATCTCTGCCATGTCTGCCACTGAGGTGAAACCAAGGCTGGGAGAAACAGTTGGGGCTCGGGCCGCTGGGACTCTGCCACTGGCGGCCAGGAGTCTGAAGTCAAACACCTACGACCGCAACGGGTGGAAGTCCGACTACAGGCCCCTTCGCAATCCCTTCACGAGAGCGGGCAGTGGTGCCTTCACATGCTCTTTGCTTTGGGTCGGTTTCAGAGCAATGCGCTCAAGTTGATTCAGCATATTCAGCATATTCAGCTTTAAAAGGTTTGTCCAGTTTTTGTTCCTTCGCGTTGTTTTCCGGCCTCCAAGATTTTTTCACAATTTCCAGCCTTTGCTGCTCTTTGCTTTGCTGGGTTTGCAGTAGCGCCGCTGGGACGGAATGTGGTACCAGAATTCCTTCCTGATTTCAGCAAGCCCTGCTATTGATTTCTCAATTCATATGGAGCACGTTGGGTTTCGATGGATTTCGGATGAATGGCCGACAAATCAACGATCAATGGACTTATATCCTTGGAATTGTATTATATATTTATAAAATTTTTATAAATATAAATATGATATGTCAATCAAATTCAATCAGTCAATTAGTGATCAATGGCAGGTCAACGGATCATCCATTAATCATCGATGAATGATGGACGCATGAATGGCATTCCCCCGTGGCAAGGCCATGCTGGGCCTGTCCATGCTGGCAGAGTCCGATGAGCTGCGAGAGGCCTCCGGTGTGTATGTCATGGATTGTAATGGTATGTATACGTATAACATCGTGTAACTTACATAGATCATGCCATTCATCATTCAGTGGTTCGAGGTGCTCGGATATCCACCCTTGTACAAATGCTGGCTGCTGCATGATTCTCAAGCTGGCTAGATACCTGATTGACAACTTACAAGGAAATCTGGAAAGACAAGCGGCTCGTGTCCGACTCAGATATTTGTGGTCCAACATTTCGCTTCTGGGTTGTCTACCCAAGATCTGCTTGCTGACTGAGCTTGTTATCGCCTTGTTGCAGATAGCTGGTGAAGACATTGGCCAAAAAATGTTGCTGTCGCCAAGTGCCGCGAGGTTGCTTCAGTTCAGAATGCAGTTGAGAGTCCTGGACCACTCAGGCGGGGTGACACCCATGCTACGAAACCTCTGTGGAAAGATGGGAATAGGATGGGAACAATCGGAATAGGTGAGCGGTGAAGGATGGTTGGCTATACTCCTGATCATTGGGATCATTGGATATTGGACAACCCATGGCCAGGCCCATTGGCTTGCATGTGCTTCAGCATCTCTCACAGTCCACTGAGATCCAGGTGTGCCTGCCAAGTTGGGAACTTGGGAGGACTTCTCAGGCTGTTATAAAGTGGGTTGTTCGGTTTGTTGCAAACCATGTTAATATCGTGTAGTCGCCAGTATAAGGTTGTACATGTCATATACATAGACCCAAAATGACGGAAATAAATACATACATACATATATATATATACACACGAAGTTACATATTGCACAAATATACATACGTGTACTTATATATATATTATATAATTACTTTATATATTATATATATATATACATAATTACTTAATTAATTAATTATATATACATATATATATATATACTGTCCATATAGCAGATACACGTTGGTGAAACCATGTTAAATCATTTGCAACCAGGCAGACATGGTCAAATGTGGCATCCGTGAACTTCTGGCCACGCGGCTGCCGGATTTGGAGAAACATCAGCACCGGGTGCCTTGGGTGGATGGCCAAGTTGGACGTGGCTTATTTCGGTAGGGAAAAGGTATGGACCAGTGTATTCGTTGGGGTAATTAGAACCTTTTTTAAGCATATACTGCATATACTGGTCGTTTTTTCTCATTTTCCCCAACTTTGGAAAGCCGTGGGTGGGAAAATCAAGACGACCCAGGGAGGATTTCCAGGGAGGATTCGAACCTCCACCTCCGTGCTTGTCAAGCATGAGCTGCAGAGCAGCAGATTGCTCGCAAAGACGACGCCACACCCATTGGGCAACTGGGTCCTTGCAACAAAAATGAAGCGGGCCAGTCTGTTTACTTCACTAAGTCACTTACTTGTGTGCGGCTTGTGTGATTCAGGCTGCACTGAAAGGACCGTAGGACCACGGGACCATCAATACAGGCTATAAGGAGAGGCGGCCATCAAGGGCCAAGCAACCCGCACATCTGCCAGGCATGTGAAATTGCGCATGACCGGCTGCTCGCAGTTTGAAAAATCCATTGGGTGAAAGATACCCCATGAATCAAAACTTTGTCTGGTGAAAATAGCTGGACAGTGCTGCAGCCAACCCTGCTGCAAACTGACCCTGCATGTTGCAGTGGCAATTTGGCAAGTTTTGTTGCAGAAGTGGCCAGTTTGAGGAGCAAGAAGTGCTTGCCAAGCAGGGATGTACAAAGCCACCCTTGGCTGCGAACTTTCCTATATGTAGAGGACAAAGGTTGTGGCTTCAGAGTCCAGCGTGAGTGTGATCTGGTCACTCTTGACTTGAACTCAAGAATGTTGGTCGATTCTCAGCACTTCAAACCTGCAGAGTTGGCTCGAGTGCTAGGGCTCCAGCCACCAATGTACAATGTTCGTTTGCCTGTTTCATCATGGCACCCTTGGCTGCAAAGAATTGGGGCCGGGCACACCAAATTGGTTTCGGAGATGGAGTGCAGCTTTGCCATCAATGTACCATCAGATTGGTCTTCGAATGTCTTAGAAATGATCAGGAGGTGATTTTGTTCTGTTGGACTGGTACAGAGCACAGAACCTGTAGTTTTTGAAGCAGTGAACTCCAGATATCTGAGGTTTCGCACAGAAATAAGTATACGGAAATATCTTGAAACGTGCCAGCAAGGCAACAACATCTGTTTGAAAGTAGCATGCAAGCGTTCCTAGGCACCTGATTGATAGAATCTGTTTTTACTTCCATGATCAGGGATCCACCAATCTGCGCGGAAACAGGCGCAGGTATACAAAGCTTGCACTTCTGTTCTCTGAGATTGGTACAGAGCAGGGAACTTTCAGAATCTGTAGTTTTTGAAGCAGTGAACTCCAGATATCTGAGGTTTCGCACAGAAATAAGTATACGGAAATATCTTGAAACGTGCCAGCAAGGCAACAACATCTGTTTGAAAGTAGCATGCAAACGTTCCTAGGCACCTGATTGATAGAATCTGTTTTTACTTCCATGATCAGGGATCCACCAATCTGCGCGGAAACAGGTGCAGGTATATAAAGCTTGCACTTCTGTTCTCTCAGATTGGTACAGAGCAGGGAACTTTCAGAATCTGTAGTTTTTGAAGCAGTGAACTCCAGATATCTGAGGTTTCGCACAGAAATAAGTATACGGAAATATCTTGAAACGTGCCAGCAAGGCACCAACATCTGTTTGAAAGTAGCATGCAAGCGTTCCTAGGCACCTGATTGATAGAATCTGTTTTAACTTCCATGATCAGGGATCCACCAATCTGCGCGGAAACAGGCGCAGGTATATAAAGCTTGCACTTCTGTTCTCTGAGATTGGTACAGAGCAGGGAACTTTCAGAATCTGTAGTTTTTGAAGCAGTGAACTCCAGATATCTGAGGTTTCGCACAGAAATAAGTATACGGAAATATCTTGAAACGTGCCAGCAAGGCACCAAAATCTGTTTGAAAGTAGCATGCAAGCGTTCCTAGGCACCTGATTGATAGAATCTGTTTTAACTTCCATGATCAGGGATCCACCAATCTGCGCGGAAACAGGTGCAGGTATACAAAGCTTGCACTTCTGTTCTCTCAGATTGGTACAGAGCAGGGAACTTTCAGAATCTGTAGTTTTTGAAGCAGTGAACTCCAGATATCTGAGGTTCCACACAGCGCACACACACGCACAACTAGGAGTCATTGCTCTGGCATGCCGACCAGGAGAATTTCTGGTTAGGATTTGGCAGATAAGTTGCTTTGAGGGAACCAGTCTAGAATTTCCAAGGAACTTGTAAGGACGCTTTTCTACTCTTTCCTGATGGCTGAATTTGTAAGAGTGCATCCAGAGACATGTCAGTTTTATTCACATGTGCAGCTGCAAGGTTCTACACATATGGTGCATTCCTCAGCCAAATGAGCCAAGGGATGCATGTTTGTTTGAAAGGAGGCAATGCAAAAAAACATAATGCAAGATAATGCAAGATCGTAGCCACAGTCTGCATTCTCTGTTTGGTACTATTTGCAGAACGGATCTGAAGTCTTTGAAGGGCCAGGAGGCCACTGCAATATTTGCGAACATTGTTGCAACATGTTGCAACCAAGGCCAGCCAGAGAAAGCTCTTGCTGGCTCTCTTCACGCTATCCTTATTAAGGTGCACGGTCATTGGCCTTTGGCCTATTATATCTGACATGACACGGCGTGACTGTCTTTGAATGGACTGCATGCGCCCCGCATTGTCTTGGTGGAGGTCTGCATGTGGCAAATCGTTTATGACCACGGGTGGGGACAGAGTCCACAAGGCGAGAATCCATCAGTCACTGACCGAAAACCAACAAAGCAGTACTTTTTTTGTGGCGGCAGAAACGCTTGGCTTCTCATATCAGGACGGCCTTGCAAAGGCTGGCTCCATGCGTGGCCAAGGCCCGCAGTTTTGTCAGGTCATTGAACCAGTGCCACCTGAAACAGGAAATGAGAAAATCGACTCAAGTTTGCCTTCCTATCCCAAGCGGCCAAATTCAAAATAACGTACAGTCAGTAGTTGTTGCAGGTGAGGTAAGCTAAGAGCTTTAAGGCTCACAACAGATCCACACGCCCGTGCTAGCCTGGACACAGTCTTGGTGACAGGTAGATCAGATCTCTTCATATTTGCTGATGGTCAGAGGCATGGGGAAAAGGGCTTGCAGTCTTGCATTCAGAAAGAGAGAAAGCGACATTGAGCACATTGTGCGAGCAAGTTTTCTCCTGCAGCTTGCATATTGGAGAGGCATTACGATGATCCAGTTTGCCCATCAGACTGTCTAAAATGCAGCATCCGTGGTGAGTCCCTTGCCTGTGCAGAAAGCCGTCTTCACGCAATGCAGAGCAGAACCTCAAACTTTTCTTATGTTCTTTTCTAATGCACTTGGAATGAAGAGACACAACATGTTGAATAAGGTTGAATCTTCGAATGTGCAAACAAATTAAAGGATCGAGAAAACATCCAATCCCGAGATGCCCGAACCAGGTGCTTGCACTGCACCAACTCAAAGTACCTCGACCCTGTGAAGTCAAGCTGCGAAGACATGTGTCCCGACGGCTACTTTCCAGGGGGAACAGGCCTGCTGGCCGCTGTGTTGTGGATGGTGTTGCTAAGATGTAACGGAAATCATGAAGAGAGACTCTTGCTTTCCTCTCATATGTCATTTGTGTTGGAATTAATTCACACGGTTAAGCGATGAGACATCTTGGGTCTTGCGGGCAGAATCTGACCAACTCCGCACCCCTGGGTGCAGGTATATCAAATCGAACCTGCACTCCATGTTCAGACGACTGCGCAGTTTGCCTTTCACGTGAAGAATGTGTAGCTTGGCTTCGCAAAAGATGTTTGTTGGCCGCTGTTGTCCAGTGAAATTTGAGATGCTGACGACTGTCAGGTACAATGCGCCAGCAAGTACTTGACACCTACAGGACATCAGCCAGAAATTTGTGCCTTGAGAACTTCCACACTGTTTGGTGGAGAAATTCGAGGTTTCTGAAACATTCTGAAGCCAGCCCAAGACTTTACTCTAATTGCGTGCATGGCAGGATCTTGTGAGTCTTCCTGCCCAGCAGGGCACTACAACTACAATAAAAATGGTGCAGGTGTGGGGTCGGGGTGCTGGGTCATTTGAAGCCATTGCCTGAACCATTGGCCAGCAGATAACTGCCGGTTGCATTTCAATAGGTTCCGATGGTCAAAATTCACTGGACCCAATTATGGGACGGATGGTTAACAGTTCATACTGGGGGCGACCAAAAATGACGGGTCCGACATCGCATGTGCAGGTACCTGCAAGCCATGTCCAGCGACTTGCCAAACGTGTTCCGATTGGAACACTTGCGATGTTTGTGTGCCAGGTGCGTTGCGGGTGCGTTGGGCAGTCAGTTGAATCCTTGGGAGTCCCTGGGATCACCTCTGGAGTATACACATCGAGAGACCACAAGACAGGCAGGCAGGTCTTTGGGTTTCAGCGCACCTAAATCCACTAAAACTGGATTACTATATATATATTACATATATATATATTACATATATATATATATATATATTACAGTACTATTGACATCTATAAACAACATTCAAGATTTTTGTTGGGCCACTCCAATTTCGGGTCCATACTGACAAGGTCTTTTGCAGTGAGATATAGGGCCAAGCGACCAGGTGCATACTTGTCGCCAAATCGGAGCTGTTCCGTGGTTTGTGATGATGGCTACTACAAGAATGACTCCGCAAAGCCGGAGCAGCTCTCAGCTTCAGAGGTCTCAACATGTTTCAGCTGTGGCATACCGTGGCTGCCCAGGAAACGGGTGGCGTTTGTGCCAAGTGTGATGATAGCTGCAGACCCTAGGCTGCATACGCCACCGGCCAGGTAATCCCGTTGTCACAATCAGGAACCACCCTACTTAGGACTCTGAAATGAACTGATCCAATACATTTCCAATACTAAAACAAGCTTTCATTTTTCTATTTGACTTGATGGAAGGGACTACTGCACTTCATGGGCTTCCACTGACACGATCCATCTGAGGCAAGTGCATCAGTCGGGATGTGTGCTCCGAATGCCAGAAAAAAATGTATTTGTCCCAACTCGACAACATGTGTGCCTTGTCTGCAAACGCCGGAAATTTGATGACAGCCCAACTGAACAGGGTTTCCAACAAATCCGGCACCAACCTTGCCATCCTGACCATTCTCCAGGCACCAGTACAAATGTGGGCCCCGCTCCACTTCCCAAGGTGGGCCATCCTGCGCTGATGGATTCTACAAGCAGGGGACAGCTGAAATTGGGAACACTTGTGAAGTGTCTTGACTCTTTTGACTCAGATTTGCCGTCCAGGTTTTCTTTTTCCTGGCCATTTCTCAACCTGCACATTTTTCCAAATCTGCCAAGGAATGCCCAGACAGTTGTAGCAGGTGCACCAGCTCCACCCAATGTGACTTGGCGCGGGGTAATAAAATGGATGTGTCTGAAAAAGCTGCAAATGGCAATTTCAATGGGGGAAATAGTCATCAACGGTCAGACAAACCCAGCTGTCAATCTTTGGACTTCTGGGATGACATCACTTCCTTCCCTTGAGGCTCCAGATGCAAGGTCGCTTGACTGATTTCAGTTTCGCCAGTCGAGCCATGATCATCCTTGATCCATGGAAGATCTTTTCTTTGGTCGTGCTTTGCTGCGCCAAGGACGGCTATTTCCTTACTCCAAACGCAACATGTGCTCCCTTTTGCCCAGAGGGAGACTTGGCACTGAAAGCCTTTTTGGGGTGTTGGATGGAAGAACTCTTCGTGATTATTCGAATCTTCAAAAACACTAAACACTATTGTAGTTGATCACAACCCTACTACCCTGGTGAAAGTTAAAATAGCCTAATAGCTCATAAATGTACGTACATCTATTCATCAGCCAACGCATATGGGAAAATCACAATTCGATCTTACCACATTCCCATATGATTTGTCATCATTTTGGTCACATCTCAGGTTACTACGCCAACAGCACCCTGAAGCGTTGTCAGTCTTGCCCCAAATCATGTGGAACTTGCACAGCTGGGCTGGTCTCGCCAGTTGCCCCTCAGCTACAAAGAGGACACGCCAGCAGTGTGGCTTTACAGTAGATTTGAAAATTAGTGGAACAAATCGCCTAGCACTAGGGTGGAATCCAATGCCAGACTTTGCTCACCTTTGTACTCGACCCACGTTGATTTTCTCTTGGTTCTTGAGCCAACTGCAGGTCTGTTTGGAGTGCAGCGACTACAAATACCTTTCGCATCGAGGGGAATGTGTTAGCACGTGCCAAGAAGGATACTACGCAGAAGGCCGGACATGTTCAGGAAAATGTTGAGCCATCCTCAGCGTAAACGACTTGATCATACCGGAAGGAGGCCCTAGATAGGTCAGTTTGTTTTTGCCATTTTATAACATTTTATAACTATATAGCCTGTACATAGCTTAACTACTGTTTTGAAATGGATATATTGAGAGTGAATGGGTTTTTATACACCGACCTAAAACTTAGGGGTCCCTTCCAGACCCCGAGGCATCTCCAGGCCCTACATTTAGCCGCAGGTTACAGTGGGCCTTTTGGCGGTCAGTGCATTCTTTGCGATCCAGCCTGTACTGCATGCAACAGCAGAACGGTGCCTTGACATATCTTGACATTACAATTACCAGTAGTACCACACAAGGCGGTGGCAGAAGTTTCAAAGATAGGACACTATAGGAGAGATTGGTTGTTGTGATGCATGGATGGCAGAGCGAACCCACTGATGGACGGAAAGGTGGTTGGAGTTGTGTTTTTTAGAGTGGTTGCAGTGGTTGGCAGTGGTCACCTCACCCACAACTGCTGGATGTAGTGTGGTGTAGTGCAGCTGTAGTTGTAGTTGTAGTGTGGTGGAGTTGTAGTTGTAGTGTAGTCTAGTCTAGTGTGGTGTGGTTTAGTGTGGTGTAGTGGAGTGTAGTGAAGTGGAGTGCAGTGTAGTGTAATGTAGTGTAGGTAATGTAATGTAATTAGCGTAGTGGAATGTAATTAGTGTAGTGTAGTGTAGTTGTAGATGTAGTTGGAGTTGTAGCTGTAATGTAGTGTAGTGGAGTGTAGTGTAGTGTAATGGTGGTTGTAGTTGAAACTGCTACAAAACCCTCACGTTTTGCTCACTTTTGACAAGGTGCACGGTCCCTTGCGCCTGCCACACGAAAAGACATCTGAGAACGTCCAATGGTGCTCCGTACCCTTCAATTTTTTGCACTTTTGACTTCGAAATGTGCTTCGCACCACAACGGCGTGCACTTTTTCGACATCTCAACTTCCGAAAGTGCTCCGAGACTGACGTGTTTCGCACATTTTGACTTGGAAATGTGCTTCGTGCCACAAAGGCGCGCTCTCTCATCTGGCCAGGTGGCTCCGCACCCGCCGCTTTAGCGAGCCTACTTTTCGACCCTCAGGTTTCGCGACTTTGCTACCTTTTCGCGGACCTGCGTCTTCTTTCTTCTCACTCTTTCTCTTCGCTCTTCTGCTCTTCTCTTCTCTGACTCTTTCCACCTCTGCTTTTCCACCTGTCCTTATTGTCGGAGGTTTGACTTCATAAATCAGCATATGGAACGACAGACTATCAGGTGTGATAGGGGTATTTACTTCAGCTATCTATGGGTTTTGGTCCGGTTGATTAAGGAATGCACCAAGTGCCAGATGCTGCGTGGGTCTCAGAGACATTATGTTGGCCTTCTTTGGCAGAGTGACACCTGTGTACTTTGCGGTATTTTGTGATGCAACAAGACTCAACAAGGAGTCCCGCAGAGGTCACTTGCCATGAAGCCTCGCAATGTGTCGCCATAGTCACAATGCTGCAATGATGCTTTGTCTTATAAGGCACTACTTGGCTCCTGATTCCAGCTGCAAGAAGTTGGAATGTCCCCGGGGATTGTATGAGCGAGGAGGTATCGATCTGAAGGTGGGGTGTTGAAACATTTGAAACCCTGTAGCAAACCTTTTGTGAGTTGACATCTTTTCAACCTGACAGGAACCTGGAGTGTGCTTGGAGTGTGCCGACAACTGTGCGGAGTGTGAGAGTTTGGAGGCTGGTGCCATTTGGTGCCTGTTGACGTCCTGGTTGTCCTTGTGGTAGGCCATTGCTACAGCATGAAAACGTGTTAGGGATACTAGAGAATCTCTGCAAAGTACCGCACAGTTTGTGATTGACCAGGCGTGCACAGTATGCAAAAACAACTACTACTTGCACCAGGGTCGCTGTTTGGAGCACGGGGCTTAGATGGATGGCTCTGGTTTCCCGAGTTTTGAGACGGTGCGGTCCAAAAGAGCCTCAGACTCAGGTCCTGCCCAACTCGTTTCTTTGGTGTCGAAGTGCAGAAAAGCAGCAATCCGGAAGGTCGCACATGCAGAAGCTGCAGGTGCGCAGCAGTTTAGGTCAGACATTCTGTATCATGCTGTCTAAGAATTGACTGGACTACTGTAGGTAGTCAAGGAAAAGAATATGCTTAGGTCTCATGGTCCCGGATTACTCCAGGACTAACACTGCAGAAGTGCACATGTTTTTGCCCTGCAGGTTCCACGACTATGAGTGCTCTTCGCCCAATGCGCTAGTGGAGACTTGCATTTCTTCAGATTCTGAGACAGCCTGCATGCCCTGACAGAAAAAGAGGCCCTACTGATTTGAAACATCTGAAACTCCAAGGATCTCAACTCTGTTACCGGTAAACGTTTTCAAGATCTCTGAAAACACTGCTGCGCTTTGCGCGTGTTTTTTTTCCTTTGAGAGCTATACACCAAGAATTTGCCAAGGGCTTTTCAACCACCACTTTGATTGGAAACAAAAATGACCTGGTGTTCTGAGTGTTCTGAGAGCTGGAGCTAAGGAGAAGGATCCTGATAATGCCCTGACCATCATCTCTACATCCTGCCATGGGCTCAAACTCGCTTTGTGACGGATTGGGGAATTGGGGAGCTTTGTGTGGTGCAAGTTGATCACTCATAATTCTCATCCACGGATTTTTCACGACCAGGTCAAAATGACTACTTCCTGTAAGATGAGGCTTGCCATCCAAAAGAGTTTTGTCCCGTGGGCACCTATCCCAGGCAAGGCATGTCACTACTGTTCTGGTTTCACTTTACTTTTGAAATTGTTTTGAACATAATATAACAAATTTACAACATACAACATATTATATATAATATTTGATCATATTTGGACGGTTTTTTGGCTGCATTTCAGTCATTCCGAAAGTCTCACAGCCAGGCGCGGAGAGGAGCTGGAGACCGAGCCAGGCAACTTTGTGGGCGGAAATTGCTCGGAGTGTCCGCAGAACTGCTTGAGCTGCAGCTCACCCACCAGGCTGGATGCACGTCGATCACAGGGGTCGAACATGGATGGAACATGGGGAGAAAACAATGGACCTACCAAATTGATCCGGATTGACCGTACATGACCCTACCAATTCAAAATTGTCTGAGCCATGCATTTTTTGTGTGTTAAGAATTTTGAGCCATAGCCAAATGGGCCAAATGGATAAAAACGAGACATTCATTTATGAAATGGGAGAATTCATCCCCTTGCATGGTGTCGTTAGTTGGGATCCAGACTTCAACATTACTTAGGAGGATACTGGAGGAGATGACAACTCTGTGCCGAGGTGTACAGCCTGCAAGAGCAGCAAATATCTCACACCTGATCTATGACCGCATTTAGAACAAATCAACATCGGTGTCGTGTCACAATGGCAGCAACTTCAGTGACATTTCCAGCGCAAGGGATATCCAGAGCTATCCCAAGGAGATGAGCTGTGAAGAGATGTGCCCCCCGGGATTCTATGGAATTGGGACTGCCGAGACTGGACGGACATGTCAACCATGCACGGGCAATTGTGACTTGGCAAGACAGCTTGATAGCCTCTGAAGATTCTGAAGTGGAGCCAATGCACTGGTGTTTGTATGTGCTATTGCAATCCAAAGCAAAGGGCCATAGAGTATGGGGAACTTGGAGCGCAGTGGAATGAGAGGGATGAGACTGGAATGAGAGGCGATTGAATGAGACTGGAACATGTTGAAGGACCGCTGCCTGAGGCCTGGAGTGCCAATCGCAGGATTTCTGCACAAAGTGCACCAATGGCACGTTGCTGACCCATGCGTTCACCTGTGAAGCCCAATGCCCTGCTGGCTACTACCCAAGGACAGGGAAGAATGTGGTGAATGGGATGGTTTTCGCAAAGGCAATCAGACCATGCTCGAAAAGGAAACAACATGAAACAACCGACAAATTTCATAATTTCACATAGCTTCTAGCGACCCACAAAAGTTTCGGAAGGGGCTTCTGAAGGGTTGTCATTTTATATCCAGGAATCCAGCTGATGGATCGCTGGATGGAAGAACCTGCCAAAAGTGCGTGGGAGATTGCCTCACATGTGAAACGCGCTTCTCCTGTACCAAGTGTAGCTTGGATGCATCGGCACGCATGGCTGCTATTTTCTGCTGCATGTTTGTTTTCGGCTTTATGGGGATGCATAGATGAAACAAGGCTACTTTAACATATTTTACCTTTGATGTGATTTTGGGTTCAGAATTGGGGAGGATTGGCGACAACGGTAAAATCCCCCTGAAGATGATCTATACTTAGTAGGTGTGGGCCCTGGGCAAGAGTTTGGGTACATGCAAGCTGGTCCAGGCAAGAACTCTGCTTACCTTACCCACAAGAAGGAGCCCAGATACCGGCATGAATTATGCTTTCTGCTTTGATGATCTTCCGGTGCCATGATTCTGCCGCAGAAATGTCCAGCTCATCCAAAAAACAACACTAGAATCACTAGAATCTGTTAGCTTTGTCAAGTGCCAGGAGTGCAAGCGAGAGTGTCCAGCATCGCACTATCCAGATGGCTCAGATGCTCCTGAAGGCTGGGTTTCCACCGATTCCATTGGTATTCCACTCAGTTTCGTCTCCACCCAGACTGTTGTAGCTGAGTTTCATGAGTTTCCATTTGCAGCTAGGTCGATACTGCATAGAATGTCCTGGAATGTGTAGTGAGTGCAACAGCCCTCACTTCTGCACACAGTGCAAGACTCCGAGCCATGGCTTCAAAGCGTTTGCAAGAGCAGCGACACATCAGTCTCACTTTTCTAGATTGCTGCTCTTCTTTAGGTTTGGATGTATCGTAGGTATGCTCCCATTGTGACAGAACTCAATCGTGTGTAATTACCGATATGGCTATGGATCAATACCTATACATACCATTTTTAGGGGGATGAACATCCATTTACCAGCTATTTTGATGTTCACCAGGGGGGATAGGGTTTTGACCCATCCCCATATCATACAATTTTCATCAACTTTCATCATTCTACTGGAGACGCAAAGTCTGACTATGTTCGTGTCGGTTTTTCTTCCACCTCAGGACATTTCTCACCGCCCATGGCACTTGCGAACCTTCATGCCAAGAAGGTGGTGCTTGTGTCGTGACGCAGTAGGTTTGGGCCACGGGATTGTCGTTGCACCAGGCTACTGGCAAGAGATTGGAAGAGAAGTGCACAGCTTCTGGGGTATGAAGGCTGGTGGAGCATGACACCTGAGCTGCATAGCTTGGATGATGCTTGGATGGGTGTTGGTATGTGTTGGTCATGTTCACGATGTTCAGGTTTCATGATGTTTCATGGAGATCTCACATTTTGATACATTTTGGGCATCCACTTAGAGCATCTTAGAGCCGTATCCAGATCTTTGACTTGAACCTGATGCCCGTGCAACACCTTATTACTAGCTGCATCTAGCTGCCTTGGGTCATGGAGGTTGGAGGAGTTTGCAAGTCCTGCCCACAGAACTGCGATCGATGCGTCGGCAGTGGATGCATCGAGTCCTGCCGAGAATTTGTACGTCATTTTGCTTTGGCAATTTGAGACAATTTGTACGTCATTTGAGACTCTTTGAGACTGCAGAGAAAGCGAAACTGAAAGATCTGAAAGTTGCTTCAATCATTACTCTTCCTGTCGATCCTCTGTTCGCCCTATTTTGCCACCCATTTGCATCCCCGTGCTTTTCAGTGAGCCTAGGAGTGCAACAAGTTCAACTACCTATCAGCTGCCGGTCTATGTGTTGCCCGCTGCCCCGATGGCTACTTTGGAGTTGGAGTTGAAGAGCTGGGAAGAGTGCGGATCCCCATTTTGGAAGGTTTCCTTGTCAGTGTGTCAGTCCAAGTTTCTCGTACTTACATCCTCAATGTCATACAATTTCAATGTTACATAATGTTACGATATTTATGATCATTGCATGCATCATTACTGGTATGGTCTATTATGATCTATTTGGTACCCAGATCCATGATTTCGGGCCCAATTTTTGGACTGGTGACGTGTGCCATACTTGCGTTGTCCTGACGGGACAGCCGGTCTGATTTGCGATGGATTTGCCCGAGGTGTGCGTGCCTTGCAGCGAAACGCACGGAGACTGCCCCTTGGCTACGTTTAGAATTCACCATTCTGATGGGAGCAAGCAAAGCTTTCAGAGTGGGAGAAGAGATTTAGTGCTTGCGAAGATATTCTTGCCATGGAATTGCTTTTGATAATTCACAGTCACAGATGTGGACAGGGTTTGCCATGCCCAAGAGTCCTGCAGAGCTGTGACAACTGAGGTTTGAACAGGACTTTTGTACTCCAGTGTGGTGAAAACTTATACCTTGACCCATGGAATCTCGGCTTCATTGGACACGCTGGGATGGTCAAGGCTTAAGTCAAGGCTTTGAGCGTCGAAGCCGGATCCAAGCGGTTTGTTTGCCTCAGGAATGCGACTTGTATCCAGACTTGTCCCGCGGGATATTTCGCCTTGGATGGTGATGTCAAGCAAACTGGTGGACCAAAAATCGGTGGCACATGTGAGAGATGTTTAGGCGCGGCAGAACATTTTAGAGTTGATGGTGAGTTGCACTAAGTTCCTGAAAGCAGCGTGACCGCAACTCCAAGAAACCCCTGGGCTCAGATGGGGTCCTGTTGGTTTTGAACATGTGTGATACTTTGTCGGGGTTGCAGCAACTTGTAACAGATGCTGCAGGTTCTTGCAAGAGTTGCAGCTCAGCTACCACCTGTCAAGTCTGCACGCATGCGATGTACCTGAATCCTATCACTCAGAGGCTTGGATCCTTGATAATCTTGATGTTGTTGCCCTCAACTGTCTATATATTGTCTATATTTGCTATATTCCATATCGTCTTTGCTTCAAGTGGTTTGCAACTGTCCACCGGTTCACACCGGCCCGCAAGGTGCACCAATGATTGTCCAAGCGATCACTACATGGTGGGCAACAGTGACTTGGCCTGGATCAGGTGGCAATGCTGGAAATCGAAACGGAGGTGGTTGGAAATCCCATTCCCCACTTTCCCGTCTGGAAAGCTATCCCAAATTACACCGGCATAGACCCCAGATAGAAAAGGTTGGAACTGATGGTTCCCAACGTGGGAACCAAAGGTTACCATGGCAAGGAACTGCCGGTTCCCAGACCTTGAAACTTACGGTTCCCAACCTGCAACCAGAGGTTACCATTGCAAGGAATTGCCGGTTCCCAGAAGTTAGAATTTATGTTTTCGAAGCTAAGCAACTATCATTGTAAGGAATTGCAGATTCCCAAAGTTTGAAACTCATGGTTCCAAACCTGAAAAAGCGTACGGTACCAGTGGAAGGATCTGTTGGTTCCAAAAAGTTAGAACTTATGGTTCTTAATGTTGTTTTGTTTTGTTTACTGAGCCGGTAACAGAACCTTTTGTTTTGCTTAATGGACCGGTAGCGGAATGTGTGCGTTCGGCTGCTGGGCCGGCATAAAAATGTTTTTGCACGAAAAAGGTGCATGTTAAAATGATATGAAAACAGTTTCTTTACAATTTTATGGTTTTGCTTAATGGACCGGTACCGGAATGTTTGCGTTTGGTTCATGGCAAGGAACTGCCGGTTCCCAAAGGTTGGAACTCACTGTTGCCAACGTGGGAACCACAGGTTACCATTGCAAGGAACTGCCGGTTTCCACAAGTTAGAAGTCATAGTTCCCACAATGGGAACCAGAGGTTACCATTGCAAGCAACTGCCGGTTCCCAGAGGTTGGAACTCATGCTTCCCAACCTGGGAACCATAGGTTACCATTGCAAAGAACTTCCGGTTCCTAAAGGTTGGAACTGACGGTTCCCAACGTGGGAACCAAAGGTTACCATGGCAAGGAACTGCCGGTTCCCAGACCTTGAAACTTACGGTTCCCAACCTGGGAACCAGAGGTTACCATTGCAAGGAATTGCCGGTTCCCAGAAGTTAGAATTTATGTTTTCGAAGCTAAGCGGCTATCATTGTAAGGAACTGTGGGTTCCCAAAGTTTGAAACTCATGGTTCCAAGCCTGAAAAAGTAACGTTACCAGTGGAAGGAGCTGTTGATTGCAAAAAGTTAGAACTCATGGTTCTTAATCTTAATGTTGTTTTGTTTTGTTGTTTACTGAGCCGGTAACAGAACCTTTTGTTTTGCTTAATGGACCGGTAGCGGAATGTTTGCGTTTGGTTCATGGCAACGAACTGCCGGTTTCCAAAGGTTGGAACTCACGGTTGCCAACGTGGAAACCACAGGTTACCATCGCAAGGAACTGCCGGTTCCCAGAGGTTGGAACTCCTGGTTCCCAACCTGGGAACCATGGGTTACCATTGCAAGCAACTGCCGGTTACCAGAGGTTGGAACTCATGCTTCCCAACCTGGGAACCATAGGTTACCATTGCAAAGAACTTCCGGTTCCTAAAGGTTGGAACTGACGGTTCCCAACGTGGGAACCAAAGGTTACCATGGCAAGGAACTGCCGGTTCCCAGACCTTGAAACTTACGGTTCCCAACCTGGGAACCAGAGGTTACCATTGCAAGGAATTGCCGGTTCCCAGAAGTTAGAATTTATGTTTTCGAAGCTAAGCAACTATCACTGTAAGGAATTGCCGGTTGCGAAAGCTTGAAACTCATGGTTCCATGCCGGTTGCCAGAAATTAGAATTGATGTTTTCGAAGCTAAGCGGCTTTCATTGTAAGGAACTGCGGGTATCCAAAGCTTGAAACTCATGGTTCCAAGCCTGAAAAAGTAACGTTACCAGTGGAAGGACCTGTTGATTGCAAAAAGTTAGAACTCATGGTTCTTAATGTTGTTTTGTTTTGTTTACTGAGCCGGTAACAGAACCTTTTGTTTTGCTTAATGGACCGGTAGCGGAATGTTTGCGTTCGGCTGCTGGGCCGGCATAAAAATGTTTTTGCACGAAAAAGGTGCATGTTAAAATGATATGAAAACAGTTTCTTTATAACTTTATGGTTTTGCCTAATGGACCGGTAAAGAACGCTTTGTTTTGCTTAATGGACCGGTACCGGAATGTTTGCGTTTGGTTCATGGCAAGGAACTGCCGGTTCCCAAAGGTTGGAACTCACTGTTGCCAACGTGGCAACCATAGGTTACCATTGCAAAGAACTTCCAGTTCCTAAAGGTTGGAACTGATGGTTCCCAACGTGGGAACCAAAGCACAGCACGCTGCACAGCACTCTGCACAGCACCCTGCACAGCACCCTGCACAGCACCCTGCACAGCACCTTTCACAGCACCCTTCACAGCACCCTGCACAGCACCTTTGCCAGACTTCGCCACCGCAGTCTGGACAGCACCCTGCACAGCACCCTGCACAGCACCTTTGCCAGACTTCGCCACCGCAGTCTGGACAGCACCCTGCACAGCACCCTGCACAGCACCTTTGCCAGACTTCGCCACCGCAGTCTGGACAGCACCATGCACAGCACCCTGCACAGCACCTTTGCCAGACTTCGCCACCGCAGTCTGGACAGCACCCTGCACAGCACCCTGCACAGCACCTTTGCCAGACTTCGCCACCGCACTCTGGAGTACAGCACCCTGCACAGCACCCTGCACACCGCACCCTGCACAGCACCCTGCACAGCACCTTTTTGCCAGACTTCGCCACCGCAGTCCGGACAGCACCTGCACAGCACCTTGCACAGCACCCTGCACAGCACCTTTGCAAGACTTCGCCACCGCAGTCTGGACAGCACCCTGCACAGCACCCTGCACAGCACCCCGCACAGCACCCTGCAAAACCTGCACAGCACCTTTGCCAGACTTCGCCCCCGCACTCTGGACAACACCCTGCAGCACCCTGCACAGCACATTGCCGGACTTCACCGCAGTCTGGCACCCTGCACAGCACCCTGCACAGCACCCTGCACAGCACCCACCCTGCACAGCACCCTGCACAGCACCCTTTGCCAGACTTCGCCACCGCAGTCTGGACAGCACCCTGCACAGCACAGCACCCTGCACAGCACCCTGCACAGCACCCTGCACAGCACCCTGCACAGCACCTTTGCCAGACTTTGCCACCGCAGTCTGGACAGCACCCTGCACAGCACCCTGCACAGCACCCTGCCACAGCACCCTGCACAGCCACCCTGCACAGCACCCTGCACAGCACCTTTGCCAGACTTCGCCACCGCACTCTGGACAACACCCTGCAGAGCACCCTGCACAGCACCCTGCACAGCACCTTTGCCAGACTTTGCCACCGCAGTCTGGACAGCACCCTGCACAGCACCCTGCACAGCACCCTGCACAGCACCCTGCACAGCACCTTTGCCAGACTTCGCCACCGCAGTCTGGACAGCACCCTGCACAGCACCCTGCACAGCACCCTGCACAGCACCTGCACAGCACCTTTGCCAGACTTCGCCACCGCAGTTTGGAGAGCACCCTGCACAGCACCCTGCACAGCACCCTGCACAGCACCTTTGCCAGACTTCGCCACCGCAGTCTGGACAACACCCTGCACAGCACCCTGCACAGCACCTTTGCCAGACTTCGCCACCGCAGTCTGGACAGCACCCTGCACAGCACCCTGCACAGCACCCTGCACAGCACCCTGCACAGCACCTTTGCCAGACTTCGCCACCGCAGTCTGGACAACACACACACCCTGCACACCTGCACAGCACCTTTGCCAGACTTCGCCACCGCAGTCTGGACAGCACCCTGCACAGCACCTTTGCCAGACTTCGCCACCGCAGCTGGACAGCACCCTGCACAGCACCCTGCACAGCACCCTGCACAGCACCTTTGCCAGACTTCGCCACCGCACTCTGGACAGCACTCTGCACAGCACCCTGCACAGGACCTTTGCCAGACTCCTCGCCACCGCACTAGTACAGAGCCCTGCACAGCACCCTGCACAGCACCCTGCGCAGCACCCTGCTCAAAAGTTCGCCACCGAAGACCCCACCTTTGAGAAGTAAGAACCCCTATAGCTTGCCAGCTATCTGGGGAAAAACATAAAAAACAATAACATCAAGTAAACTAAGATTAACGAAGTAACGAAGTATAGATCCAGATCACTTCCCCGCGAAGTACTCGTACGTGTTGGCCGCCGTGCAGCGTCCTGTTTCTCGCACGAGGGCCCTTGCAGCCAAGGTACAGATGGTCGGACCTGCATGCCCTGCCCTCCTACAGCGGCAAAATGCGTCAACGAGACATGGACCTATGAATGTCGTGGAAACAACCAGTACCTGGTACCTGAAGGTGGGAGATGTGGGAGAGAGTTGCCACCAAAACAGTTATGTACACGCAAACAGAAACAGCAGTGATGGAGAAAAATGCTGAAAATTGAACCTGTTGCAATGCTGCCTATGCAGTTGTATGTGAGCAGATATAGCATTCTGTCCAGGAGGCAAGTGCACAACGAAGTGTCCCCAGGGCTTCTATCTCAGTTGCGAAAGCTTGGGCACGGTCAAACATGGTCAAACATGGTCAAACCATGGCCAAATGACTGCCGTTTCTTGGATTCTCCAAGGCTATTTTGCAAGATCTGGGGCTCAAGTGGAGGAAGACGCGCCGCTGGTTGGTGGCACCTGTGAAAAATGCCACTCGCCAGATGTTCTGATGCGCTGCAGAACTTGCAGAAACTTCTGAAATCTTAGGTGTTGGCAGCTGCAGCCGGTGCAAATCTGAATCCGAATGCTTGGAATGCTCAGGCCCACATTGACATAGACTGACATAGTTTGTGGACACACCATTTTGGAGCTACTGCTAGTAGCATGATTCAGGTTTTGGCAGATTTGCTCAATTTTGCTCCCCTGAGGAGGTAAATATTTGGATCCAACCACCTCTTTGTGTACCCTGGAGTGCCCGTGTCTTTGTCCGCAACATCTTCGGACGCTTCTGTTTGTCTCGCTGGGAAAATGCTTAGACTGTATATTTTGTTCTTATGCTTTTGAGTTCATGCAGACAAACATGCTGTACAATGCACGAACCTCGCCATGGATTAGCATGACGCCCCAAGCATATAAACATCCAGAAGCGGAGCCGTCTTCCAAACTTGTCCAAACCGAGCTTCGATGCCTGTGTTTGCATCATCTCTCAAAGACTGAGGCGTGACCACTTCATGGTTGGCACGGGTGAAAAAGGCAGAGCTTGCTCGCCATGTCCTGACAACTTTGCTGTCTGCAGGAATGTACCTTGGCCCATTGGGAAACCCTGGGATCAATGTAAAATGTGGCTGAAACCCACGCTGGTCAAACCAGAGTTAAGAAAAAGGATGGCAAGGGCAATGCTGTTGTACAGATGCGAAGCTTCCAGGAAAAGTTTGGAAGTCAAAGTCTCTCAAGCCCAAAGGTCAAAGCCAATGATCGGTAGATGCAGAGCTTGTGCTTCCCAGATGAGCAGACTCCTCTTTAGCCTCGACATCTTTTTGTAGGAACCCAGCAACACAAAATGGCTGGCACCGCCGCTTTGAAAGGCCTCTTATGCTATGGAGTGTCGTGGGGATCAGCAATACTTGGTCCCCAGCTCAGCATTGCGACAGCCGGGCGACTGGGCGACCGGGCGACAGCAGCCAGTCATGCGATTGAGGATGTCAATACCAACCCAGATATAATTGATATGGTCAACTTGAGAAACAAAAAGTAGGTGTGAACAGGGGGTGTGAACAGGGGCACCCTGTAATACGCCAACCATGACATGGTGAATTTGGGTTGCTCCCACTGTTGCTCCCACTGAGGTTCCTGAGGGTGGGCGTTGTACTCCAAGCTGTCTGGACGGATACTATCCTCGCCCAGGCGGAGGGAGCATATATGGTGATCTGTTAAACACCAAAACGGATGTACTCTCCAGTACTGTAAATATATGGTCAACTTTAGTGCCAACTTAGTGGCAACTTTGTTTTTCCCCCCAAGTTTGAGCCCATATCTATCATATCCCTTTGTTCCTTAGTCCTTGGTGAGCCACTTGCTGCTGCTTCATTTGGTGAGGCATTGCTCTGGAGGTGGGTGGTCCACTGGTGGGTGGGACTTGCGAGCGATGTGTGGCACCTTGCGAGACGTGCATATCTTTGAATGTGGCTTGGCAAAAGCTACCTGGTCACAGGATGTCACAGGCGGTTTTATCAGTCTTGGGATAATTCATCATGTTGACGTTGCTAATTCAGCTTTAGGGATTTCACTGCAGCGTCTTTAATGTGTCCCAAGTCTCCAACTTGGGGTTCTGAGACACGGACTGGACATGTTTCACTATTCCATGGCTCAGGAGTGCAAGATTTGCAAAGGGGGCACTTATTTGAACCCCTTCGATCTCAGCTGCGCCTTCGATTGTCCTGTGGGAACGTACATGACTGGCACAGGAGCTTGATGCAGGGACAAGGCCAAGGAAGCTATTTTTATTGAAATATGCAGAACATGCATAGATGATGCTGTTGTTTTAGATGTTTTGAAATGATTCTTGATTTTGCTCTCTGCTTTCAACCAGTTTGTTCGTATCCCTCTTGAACAATTTTGGCAGGCTTTAGGCCATGGACATTTTATAAGGCCCTTTTTATCTTCAGCTAGACTTTTTGATGGGTGGGTTCAGGTGATGCTTTTGTCCTGCTAGGAGATGTTGGGCGCAAGTGCGAAGCATGCCCTGCCGAGATGTATTCTTGCATCAACAGCACCTACGCATCATTGACAGGATCTTAGACTGCCCACAACAAGGGAAACATTTTTTTTGATCATTCGGACCATCATCAAACTACTGTTAAGTAACAACAGCTGCGAGTAGCTGATAGCAAGGTGCAAAGGAGACAACTACTACTTGACTCCAAAGCACTCCTGTGAACTGAATTGTCAGGACCTCAGGTGCACAGCACTGTGGCAGTGCGTTTTGGGCTGGCCACACATTGAGGTCCTGATGGCTACTACAGAATGGGTGGCTCTGAGGTATCTGAAGGAGCTGCAGCGCGGATGGTTTCAAAAAAAATAAAACACAAGCAAGATTTGATTGATCTTATGCTTCAATCCCCTGGTTCACCACTAACACTGGCGAAGACACCCACGTTCAGTGGCGAAGACACCCACGTTCAGGAGGGCCTATGGTTGGTGGGACCTGTCAGAAGTGTATCAACAACTGCGCGACGTGTTACACAGCTTCCTGGCTGCACTTGTTAGAGACAAAAGGACGCAGGGATCAAGTTGGTTAGATGCGCAAGAAATTGAAGGTCAGGCTGGGAACAATGCTCATCTTCTCTCAGAAATGAAGCCACGAATTGCCGAAACACAAACATAGCGTCCTTTTTGGATCCTTTTGGATTTCGATTCAGAATTCCTGGATCCAGAGCCATTGGGGGTTTGTTTTGAACCTGTTTCTTTGTATGTAATCCGATTGACAGTCAGACGCACTGCAACAGCTTCCGTGGTGCAGCGCACCTAGACTGACGCTGACATTTTCAGCATCCCCCAAGTTCTGCGGAGCATGGCCCGCATGGTCCGGCTGCCATGGTCCCTGGCCGAGGAATCAAAGTGTACCTCCTGTCGCAACGGGGCTTTCTTTGATCCTCGTGGTAGTCTCAGGCATCATGTACTGTATTGGCAAAGCTACTGTTTCAGCATGGAGACAGTCAGGAGACTTTCACTGGACTTTCACTGGACTTAGGATTGGAGCAATGTGATTTCAATTGCCCAGAGGACTGGTTGGTCTGGCAAATGTTACAGTTTCTGAATGCTTGGAGTCCCTGGAACTGACGCAAGAGATGACTATAACGTGCCAAGCAATGACAGGAAACCCCCAAAAAGCCCATGGCTCACTTGGTGGCCACAAAACAATCCCAGCAGCTTACTTGGAAGGATCACTACATGGTAGGCAAGGAAGAGGAAGGCGCGAATGCTGCAATATGGAAAAGAGCGCGCAAGGGATTGGTTGCAGTCGATGCAAAATAAGACGACTTAAGTACCAGAGTTGTCGAGTAATGTCGAGTATGTATCTTGCTTGGGCCAGGTCGACAATGCTTTCGATGTCCAGATGAGTTCCACACCTGTCTGAACAACACCTTTGGCACACATTGCCATGGGAACAATCGGTGCCCTTACGGCCCTTACGCTGTTTTCCTGTGAAGACTGTTAAGTGCCAACCTTTAGAAAGCGTAACGATCAATCTTTCTAATCTGTTGAAGTAGTTTATTTCAATTGCTCATGATCTACACTACATTTGTTGATCTTGCAGATTCCTGTTTTTTCTTACCTCTTTTTTGAACCGCAACATGAGGTACCTCGCTGAGAATGGGACTTGCCGGACCTCATGCCCAGATCGTTACTTCCGAAGGCCAGCAGCTGCGGCTGTGGAAACCGCAGTTCCCCAATTGACTGTAGCCAGGCCTTCCACAGTCTTTGGGGTCGATGGCATCATGACACCTGGCAGCTGTGAAGTTGAAGACTATGGGTGTGTCTGAAAATGGGAGATTAAGCCCCAAAATTGTGCTTTAATAATTAGGGACAATCAATTTGATGATGAAAGTACCCTGTTTCCAGACAATCCCCCCATGATTCTTCGTTGAGATTTGTTGCAGCTTAGGATTGGTGGCGAGTGCGAAAAGTGTGTTGGAGATTGCAGAGAATGTGTCAGTGAAGGGGAATGTGCGGTCTGTGAGATGCTTGGCGGTGCAGAAGACATCTCTTTTCTTTGGTTGGATTACCACCCCCCCCACTATGGCTTCCTAGGTTTGGTCCCAATGGAGGATGACTTGATATAATTTGATAATATTTGATATATATTTGATTTATAACTATGTACACATATCATATATATATATGATATATGTATACTGTATAATACATATATGCATGCATAATATATTCGTATCTACCCGAACACAAGAGTTGCAAAGGAATGGCAAGTTTCTGAAGAACCGCACCTGCCTTGCTGCTTGTCCAACCGGTTGCTTGGAGGTCAATTTTGGAAGGATTCCCATTGCAGCTTCTCACGCGCAGTGGCACTTCTTGGCAGACTCACTTTCAGAAGCAGTTGAATCCCTCTGCCATTGGCCAAAAACAGACACTTTTGAATCATTTTGGTGGATTTGGGGTAGTATCCCGGTCCCCCATTTTTGGACCCCGGGTAAGCCACCGCTCTTTTAACGAGGCTTTTTCCAGAAGGAGGGAACGGATGGCATCAATGGAACTTGTGAGATGTGCAAGATGGGAGCCACACATTGCAGTGCTGGCACCCAGGACACTTACTGTTCACCACTCCAGCAAATTCCAGTGATGGGTTTTGGTTGGATAGTCTTTGTGCAGGCATTCTCTAGTATATAATCGCAATTACTTGTTCGTCGCTGCGTGTAGCTACGTCTTTGTCCCACGGTGCGCAATTGCAGCGCTTGTTCGTGGTAGCAACAATGTCTTATCGTTGCCTTTGTTTCGACAGAATTTGTTGATCACGAAGGTTTGGATTGCTCATGATCATGATCAGTTGGATAGTACGAAAAAGTTTCTCGCAGATTGTGTCTTTTTGTTGCAGTTTACTCAGTTTATTCCATTTGAGTGCTTCGCCAAATTGGATGTTCTTTGGACTGTCGTGGAACAACCTCGTGTTGTCCAGCACAAATGGTGTGAGTCCGATTGGATGCGGAGAGTGCAGGACGGTGTCACAGTGGCTCTCGCCTGTGAGACTGGTTTCTTGGCTGAATAGCAACATCAAAGCTTATCATGGGGACTTTCGCCCGGGATTCTCGGCCCGGCTTTCTGTGTAGCATCAACAATTTGCATCAACAATTTGCAAAGCAAGAGAAAGGGACAGGACAAGATTCTAGGATTCTAGGATTGCTCTAGCTCAGTTTCTTGATAAAGGACAGCCTCCTAAAGTCGAGTCAACTGTATCCGTTTGATCCCCGCATCCACACGGCAGGCTTTGAGCTGAAAGACTCAGAGTGTGTCAACAGCTGCGGAAGCGGAAAATACAAAGATCCCACCACGGACTGAGCTGGGCAGCTGGGGAATTGGGATTGGGGGTATCACCTGGAACCATGATGTAACCACTGCGCCACTTGTTTCAGGACAAATGCGCAGATTGCCCCTCAACATGTGCTGAATGCATCAGTGCGACAAAATGCAGCCTTTGCAAGACACTTGACTTGAACTGGGGTTAGCTTCAGCATCCAATGACCATCAATGACCTGTGCATGAAAAAAGTCCGTGGTCAATTGCAACCAAATATATCCAAATAGCTACATACAACCTACAGTATGCTTCACTTCTCACTAAGGGATGGTGAGTCGTTGGATGTGAGTCAGCTTCCAAACTCGACGCTTGGCTGAGATGAAACCATTGTAGGCATTGCGGTTGCAGCCATGGTTTTGTCCAGACATCTGCAGTTGTTGAACCTGGGATTCACGTGGATTTGCCCTTTTCAGACCTACCAGCATCCCCATCACTTGGAGTCTGTGGTTTGTGACCTGCACGCTCAAGATGACTTTCTGAGTTGAAATATTCTCAGGAGCAAGTGCGTAAGCTCCTGCCCCGATGGCTTCTTTGCTGATAAAGGCGAGGAAAGCACGGGAATGGCTGGACAAGCAAGACTCTACATGGGTGATCCAAATCTTGTAGCTCTTTGAACCGCCAAAAATAAGCTCTTGATTAACCGAGCTGCATGAAGAGTTTCTGTTCAACCAGTCACCAGAGACTACGCATCCAGCAAAGGTCTTAGATCCAAAAACTACTAGGCAGCTGTTTGACAGATTGTCCATATGCGCATGTGTATGATGTGTGTAATACGCATGTCTGCAGAAGGTACGATTAAGATGATGCCAGAGCATTATGCAGGTCAATGTGTCTCCTGCTCACGATCTTGCAGCAAATGCGATTCCACTTCTGCCTGCACACAGTGCAAGGACTGCTAGTGCGATCGTTTGAAAATCTCCAAGCACCCCAGCTAGGAAGAATGAGGGATTCTCTCCAGTTTCTCATCATTGTGACCATGGTTTTCATCATGACCGTACCAAGACACATTATCACGAGCAGATTCATACCTGAGCCCTGGACGGGCGAACCAGCTAAGTGTCGGTTTATTGAAACTGCAGAATTTTGGAGCAACAGCAATTACTCAAAGTCCAGTTGCCATAGATGGGTACCTTAAGCGGCCAAAGGGATGCCTGCACCCATCCCTTTCTTGGCCTTCAGGACCACCGCTATTTGTCTCCAAATTCAAAGACCTGCGTCACTGGTCTGAAACGGAAGAGACCTTTCCTGGTTCATAGCCCATTCCTAATGGCTGAATGGTTTCGGTGTTGGACTTTTTACCAGCATCTACCAGTTGGGTCTTTCACAGCAGCTCCTGTAGCTGTTTGGAGCCACCGTCAGGAAGATGACTGTCCCAAGGGATATTCTCCCGTGGGCTCTGAAGCGACTAACCGAAGCTGCCAAGTCTGCAGCAAAAACTGCGTGAGCTGTGCCTCAGCCGGGGAATGCAGAGAGTGACCTGGCTAGAGCTTATGTGGTGGGCTGAACGGAAAGGAGGAGGTCAAAAGAGACAATAAAGCAAAAGGAGGGTGACTAGGAGTTGGATTCCAGATGAAGCCATATGTATCTAAGCTCTTGTGTCAGGGGACCGTAAAGTACTTAGCATTGGACTAGTAGGCATATTAGGCATGCCGTGCCTTGAACTGGAAGCTGCGGCACCTTGAAGAGCTTGGCCCTCCCATAACTATCAGATATGAGTCTGGGCCAGTTTGGGTCACAATCTACTAGTCCCCAACACACAGACTTAGTTTATATTCTGAGTATTGTATAGTATTGTATTAAATTACACATATATATATATATGCACATAGGTATTGTAGTCAACGATCCAATTTTTGGGGTTACCCAAGCACCATCCCACAATATCCCACACACACACACATTGCCGAGATCCCGATGCCTTCAGCTGAGGTGCGGAAATCGGAAATATTTGGTCCCTGAAGGCTGGTGTGAGGACAGCAACACTGCTGCTGTGTTGCGAAGTGAAAGGGGAGCCATGAAGGTTCCAAGATGTTCCAAGTGCTATGTTTTTTTTGGATGTTGTTGGTTGGGAGCTATCTACCAACCTGTATGGACTAGTTAAGTGGCAAGCTCCATGCCTGTCTTACGCACACGTCTCTGACCAGTGTTGTGGCACTAGGGATGAGATTGCAATGTACTCAAGTCAGCAGCCAATGGTGATCACTTTTATTCATCTCACAACTGCTCCTCTGATGACGCACATCCTTGCGATGTGCCCTTCCACTGAACACAATTGAAGAACAACCAAATCAATTCCTTACTATGTTCTGAGGGCCCTTTGCATGTCTAAGACTGCTTGGAGATTGAAAAGTGAGGAACAAGTAGATCAAGTATGATCAAGTAGCGTCTCTTAGACTGTTGACCGGCTTGCCACATGCAGATTTTGCAGTTGTGCGTCATTTGCTTGAGATGTGCGTGGATTGTTGTGCGGACTCTTTTTGATGCAAGCTTGTATGATGAGACTTGTGACCAGAACTAGTCACTGAGATCCAGTGATTATCAGTCCAAACAATCCTTACTATGCTGAAGGCTAGGAATTTGGTAAGAGTTGCTTGCAGATGCAAGAAAGATGAAGAGTGCCCATATGATGACGCACATCCTTGCGATGTGCCCTTCCACTGAACACAATTGAAGAACAACCAAATCAATTCCTTACTATGTTCTGAGGGCCCTGTGCATGTCTAAGACTGCTTGGAGATTGAAAAGTGAGGAACAAGTAGATCAAGTATGATCAAGTAGCGTCTCTTAGACTGTTGACCGGCTTGCCACATGCAGATTTTGCAGTTGTGCGTCATTTGCTTGAGATGTGCGTGGATTGTTGTGCGGACTCTTTTTGATGCAAGCTTGTATGATGAGACTTGTGACCAGAACTAGTCACTGAGATCCAGTGATTATCAGTCCAGACAATCCTTACTATGCTGAAGGCTAGGAATTTGGTAAGAGTTGCTTGCAGATGCAAGAAAGATGAAGAGTGCCCATATGATGACGCACATCCTTGCGATGTGCCCTTCCACTGAACACAATTGAAGAACAACCAAATCAATTCCTTACTATGTTCTGAGGGCCCTGTGCATGTCTAAGACTGCTTGGAGATTGAAAAGTGAGGAACAAGTAGATCAAGTATGATCAAGTAGCGTCTCTTAGACTGTTGACCGGCTTGCCACATGCAGATTTTGCAGTTGTGCGTCATTTGCTTGAGATGTGCGTGGATTGTTGTGCGGACTCTTTTTGATGCAAGCTTGTATGATGAGACTTGTGACCAGAACTAGTCACTGAGATCCAGTGATTATCAGTCCAAACAATCCTTACTATGCTGAAGGCTAGGAATTTGGTAAGAGTTGCTTGCAGATGCAAGAAAGATGAAGAGTGCCCATATGATGACGCACATCCTTGCGATGTGCCCTTCCACTGAACACAATTGAAGAACAACCAAATCAATTCCTTACTATGTTCTGAGGGCCCTGTGCATGTCTAAGACTGCTTGGAGATTGAAAAGTGAGGAACAAGTAGATCAAGTATGATCAAGTAGCGTCTCTTAGACTGTTGACCGGCTTGCCACATGCAGATTTTGCAGTTGTGCGTCATTTGCTTGAGATGTGCGTGGATTGTTGTGCGGACTCTTTTTGATGCAAGCTTGTATGATGAGACTTGTGACCAGAACTAGTCACTGAGATCCAGTGATTATCAGTCCAGACAATCCTTACTATGCTGAAGGCTAGGAATTTGGTAAGAGTTGCTTGCAGATGCAAGAAAGATGAAGAGTGCCCATATGATGACGCACATCCTTGCGATGTGCCCTTCCACTGAACACAATTGAAGAACAACCAAATCAATTCCTTACTATGTTCTGAGGGCCCTGTGCATGTCTAAGACTGCTTGGAGATTGAAAAGTGAGGAACAAGTAGATCAAGTATGATCAAGTAGCGTCTCTTAGACTGTTGACCGGCTTGCCACATGCAGATTTTGCAGTTGTGCGTCATTTGCTTGAGATGTGCGTGGATTGTTGTGCGGACTCTTTTTGATGCAAGCTTGTATGATGAGACTTGTGACCAGAACTAGTCACTGAGATCCAGTGATTATCAGTCCAGACAATCCTTACTATGCTGAAGGCTAGGAATTTGGTAAGAGTTGCTTGCAGATGCAAGAAAGATGAAGAGTGCCCATATGATGACGCACATCCTTGCGATGTGCCCTTCCACTGAACACAATTGAAGAACAACCAAATCAATTCCTTACTATGTTCTGAGGGCCTGGAACAGCTTGTTTGCAAATGGGAGATTTATGTATATTTATGTGGATGTTTCTATGCCTGGTAGGGGAGTCTTTTTAGAGCTTTACTATCCTTTGCTTATCTTTACTCAAAGTTTATATAGTGGGATCTGCTCCAGGATGGCTGTCCAAAGGGATACTATGGCAAAGGTGATGGGGACACCGGTACCTTGGCAATGATGGGGTGATGGAGTTATTTCTATTATCAATTAACAATGATCCATTTTTTGGGCAAACGGATTTTCACCAACTCCCATTGTTTCAACGGGGAATCCAACCGCTTGTATATGATCGGCACAGATTTCCATGTCTTTTGACCTTCGCGGTATAGCCTGTAAGGTCGCACATGTGAAGCTTGCCCGGGAGACTTCTTCAACTGCATCAGCCCAAATCTTGGTGCCCCTGGTTTGTGCAGATGGTGAGCCGCAAATGGTGCGAGCTGATGTAGTCTTGCAGGTACAGAATGCAAGAACCGAAAGTACCTGACAGCAGAGGGAACATGTGAAAGTGGCTGCCCAACTGGGACCTATCCTTCCGGCACAGGAGAACAAGTGTGGCAAGATGAGGTTTTCGCGTCGTTTGAAGTGAAGAGCTACATGCGGTTTGCCGAGGTTAAATAGTTTGACCCGTCTGAAAGAACTGGACACCTTAGTGTGTGTGTATCTCAGGTTCCATTTTCTTCCATCCTAAAAAGTCACTGATTGAGGAGACTTGGGCCGAGTTTGCATGCCATGTGGAGCAAATTGTGCGGTTTGCACCACCGGAGCCTTGGCAAAGGCGTGAAATGGATTGAAATGGTGAATCTCCTGTGGTGTTGATTCACAAGTCAACTTTGGATAACTTTGATTCTCATTGTGTCTCGTAGCTTCTTGTCCTTTTGCGTTTTGAGATTTCACAATCTGGAGATGGATTCATCATGGTGAGGGATACCCAGATACTTGTAGCATTTTGGCCGCTCAGGAGATACTTGTGACAGGTGCACAAATAGCCTCTCGTATGCTCAGCTGTCGTGGGGTGGATCGGGCTGCGATTCCAACAGAGATACATAGCCAAGCTGGCCAGTCCAATAGATTTTATGACCAGAACTTGGCAGATTCTTGATGTTTGGATGTCACCGCTTGGTGCGTGAAGCTTTGGCTTGCTGCACTGCTAGTGTAAGGCCACTACTTGACACCAGACCTCTGGTGTGAAGATGCTTGCCTGTGAAATAAGAGGCAGCAGGTCTTGGAATGGTGGAGATCCACCCGAATCCCATTTTGATAAACGCAAAGAGATAACTTTAAGGGCATTTTATGGTTTGATGGTGGATGACCTGATACAAATAACCTGCAGCCTCCGGTGGTCCTTTATTGCATCCCTATTTCAGTTGGAAACATGACGCTCATGCCTCCCAAATGAGCCCCTTCAACATGCTGCCTTTCGCCAGTCCCAAGGACGCATGCCCGGATGGCTACTACAAAAGTGGCACAGGTAAGTTGAATCGCACCTGTGTCTTATGTCCCATGGATGCCATGAAGTGCATCAGTCCAACGGCCCCTTGGCATACGGAGACCACTCCTGGTTGCAGTTGCATTGGTTGTCTCTGGCTCTGGATTTTGAACGTCAAAATGTGATTGGGCAACTTGTGGCTTTTCAAGACTTTGACGAAGCTCTTTGGTCGTCTGGCTTGCGGCTTGAGCCGAGATTATCATTGTTCTTCATTTACCTAGCCGTTTTTTTGTTTGAGAGGCCAAACATCCTGTGATTTCCATACCAAAGCAGCGCCTTTTGATCCAGGTTGCTACTGAGTGCCGAGATGCAAAATACCTCACTGCTGCTGGAAGCTGTGAATACTTGTGTCCAGAAGGAACATACCCATCAGGCGCAGGCGAGTGGGCCGATTGGATGGTAGATGGATGCCAGAAATTCACAGGGCCTCACTGCGTTTTGGGGCACTTGGGAGGTGTATCACTATTTCTGGAAGCTTTTTCCAAGGAGTCATGGCTGGTAAGGTCAGAGACTTTGGTCACCCCTTCACCCGTGTTTTTTTGAGCTATAGACAAGACCACAAGAGCAGTTTCAAAAACATGAGTTGGTCATAGTTGGTTGATGAATATGATGAATGTTGATACCACAAGGTTATAAGATATTATAAGATGTTATAAGTTATAAGTGAAACGATGTGAAAAGTAATACTCTCCAACAATCTCCATCCTGGGACCAGCAACCCACGGGCTGAACACACTGCAGGCCACAGCACAGTTGGCCGCACTTGCGAGGCGGACAATGGTTGTTGCGGTTGTTGTCTCTTGGAGGGGGGGGCAAGTTGGCAAGGCACTTCCAAGTTTCAGCGGAAGGGAAGTGTTATCATATCTAAAATTACGTTTATAAATAGTCTTAGATAGTCAGATAGATAGTCTTAGTATAAGTATATAAGCAAACACATACTGTATCACAGACACATGTATATGATATATTATACACACACATACACGCTATATACATTACATGTGGATCACTGTCATGAAAACGTATACCTTAAATGTAATGTTTTGTTTTGATCATCATCGGCATGCTCTTGGTAGGGGCGTATCTGCGGATCACCATGCCACAGGTGTGTGATGCCAACTGTGCCACCTGCAAAAAGGCAGGGCACTTGTGAAATGGTGGGATGCTTCTGTACCAAAGGGTCACAGATGGAAAGGGTTTTACTCCACAGTATTGTAGGCTGGCTGGGGCCTTTCCGTGGTTTGAAACATAGATCCGTGTTTTAGATGCAGACTTGTGGGGGATACAGATCATATATAGAACATGTGAAAGGGCAGTGGTTTTGAGGGCGGGCCCTTTTCTTCCGTCCCTTTACCAATGACTCCTCCAGTATTCACCCTCAGAAGGATATCAGAACTGCCAGTGGATTTCATTCAATTGCTCATTTGTCCAAGGCCGATCTCTGCACAAAATGCAAGAATGGACAGTGTCTCGACGCGGTTCCATGGGATGTGGGAGAGGAACTGGAAGGAGATCACATCTGACAAGGTAGCCAGAAGAGGCTTGCAAGAGGCAAAAAGCCGGACAGAAGCTTGATTTGGGAATCGCTAGAAACCATGTCTCCCACAAGTTTGAATGGTTTGATATACATACCAAATGATCAAATCTGTGGCACTATTGATACCCCACCCTCGAGTATGCTGGCCATAGCAGTCTGATAATTCTTGGATAGCGAGCCAAGGTACTTGACCTCTGATATGTGGTGTGAGGACAGCCGTGGTCACGGTATGTCATGGTAATGCTTTGGCTGCTTCACATGACCTGCGTGCCTTGCTGACTGCTACCTTTTGTGATTTCCAGGAGGGATGCCCAGACGGATACTATCGCAATGGCACAGGGAAGATTGGTCGTAATTGCGTTCGATGTCCGCTGAATGCGATGAAATGCATTGGGCCGGCTCTGGTCACCGTGCCTAGCCGCCAGCATCAGTCTACCATTTTTCTTGGACCTTGATTTGATCAGGGTTGACCCCTCTGTTCCAGTCCCTCTCAGGGGAATCGCCGAGGAATGCAGAGACTGGCTGTACCTCACACCAGATGGCACTTGTGCGGATGGCTGTCCAGTAGGCAACGGGTGCTTGGGTTTCTGGAAAATAAGTTCTGCACTTGGAAACAGACGACTATAGAAACAAATGAAACAAAGCTCTAGACTTAATAGCCTTATTTTCCTTTGGAACATTGTCGTGCCACAACTTCGTGAGTCTTGAAGTCAAACCGAATACAGGATGCATGCATTGCAGACAAGACGGATCTTTTGTTGGGCAATTGAGACTGTCTTTTCCTCGTGGATCTTTTTGGCGACTGCGGATTGCAGCTGACTGACATGTTAAGAACATGTAATTTGGAGCTCGAAACGAAACCCCAAAAGTGGAGCGTCCATCATCCTGCTTTGTGGCCATCGCTGTCCACGCCGGTCAGGTACATATCCTTCTGGTGTGAACCAAGTGGGTCGCACGTGTGAAGCCTGCGACAAGGATTGCATCTCATGTACCCAGGAGAACCGCTGCGAGCAGTGTCGCAATGGCACCTTGACAATCTGTGATATGGGTGTATCCATAGTTTCCATCGACCAGCAGCACTCTCCCCCAAAACATTGTTCAAAATGTGGCTCTCTGTGATTTTTTAAAAAATGTTTTTTGGTTTGAGTTTTTGAGAGGAACTGGCTGGTTGATGCTTGTGAGAGATGCTTGCAGGTGCTAAAGGATCTGTTTGCCTCGCTGTAGAGAAAGCATGGCACCGGGCCAAGGCAAGTATCTGACACCAAGTGGATGGTGCGAAGCAGCATGCCCGCATGGAACCTACAAGAACGGAGTAGGACCCTGGGGGGTTCAGCAGAGCGATGAGTTTTGGAGTGTTGCAAGGGGTTCCAACTAAATGCCTTAGCGAGGGTCCAAAAAGTTCAACCCAGATTTCAGGTAATGCAGGAGCTTCGCAGAGGGATATCACACTGGCTGCAAGATGTTAAAACCCTGGGCCATGTGGGAATGTCCAAAATCAGGGGACCCAAAATCGCCAAAGATTGTTGGTTGAGGAAACCTGGGTATCCCTCCATTTTGGATTCATTTTGACACACAGGAACTGTGGGAAACACTTGCGAGCCATGTCCGGGTGACTCTAGCGGCTGCGTCCATGCGAAGTATGTGCCTCGGCGGCTTAGGGGCTCCACTGACGGCTGTGCATCAAACTTGGGCACCCCCAGAGTTGATTGTTTCTTAACCAGTAAAGATAACCAAAAACATTCCAAAACTGTAGGAAGCTGGCTGATGACTTCGTTGGGATTGAAGACAAACAAGATTTTGTCCCAGTTCTTCAGTGTGATTCTCCTTTCTAGGTGTGCTCCATCAAGTTTCATCTTCGCAATGATTGTGAGAGTTGTCAGTCTCAGAAAATGACTGGACCATGCGGCAACCTCATGCATAACCCACTTTCTGTGGCTGCTTCTAGTGCTTGAAGTTACGACCGCAGGATCGGCTTCATTCACCTCGGGGTGTCAAACCAATTTTTTTCGGTTGTTGACTGCTCTTGGCTGAGGCCACCGAGTGCAAAAACTCCAAATTTTTGGCTCCTGATGCCACCTGCAGAGATACTTGCCCCGTGGGCTCGGCTCTCACTTTTTGAGATGCATGTGCAGACCGGAACAGCAGGGGTTAGTGGTGAGCAACGCTGATTTCTACTGTCACCTTGATCTCTTTTCTAACAGTAATCTGAGGCTACTTTCCTGAAGGAATTGGCGAGGTCGGAAAGCAGTGCCCGCGATGCCAGGACAGGGTCTTTACAAACTCGTTAGGAGATTTTGGAGATGCAAAAGTTGCAAAGCCAAGCGTCAGTGCGGGATTTTCCAAATTAAGGACACATAAATTTACTAGTTGATTCTCTAATGTACTCACTGTAGTCCGTTATTGATATATTGTATATTGTTTGAATCTATTTGATTTATTATGCTTGGAGCAACACATGATTTGGAACATCCCCCCGTTCTTTGTCCGCCATTTGCCGGAGCGAAGCATGTCTGTTTTTTTGAGGAACATTGCTTCTCCTGTCAATCAGCGGCCTTGTGCACTGTCTGTGACAATGGAAGGGTTCTGAGTCCCAACATGTCCTGTGGGGAGCCCCAGCAATCGAAGACTGCCAGCCGCAGAGACATTCAACATCATATTTGCGTTGAACATCAGGAAAGGTTGGCTTGGGATATTCTTTCCTCTCGCACTGAGAGAATTTCCGGACTTGCCCACTCTTTTTCAGGGTCATTGGGTCCGTGCAGTCATTGAATTTTTGTCACATGGAGCTCAGCAGCTCAGCAGGTGTGGACAACTGCCCCAATGGATACTTTCGCAATGCCTCAGAGAAGATTGGCAACAACTGCACGGCCTGTCCACCAAGCAGCAAATGTCTGAATTTGACGCATATCACAGAGTGCAAAAACGCCCGTGACCTGGCTAATGCTCATCATGGGAATGTTGCCACAATTGCCACAGCTGCCACCGCCAAGAAGGACCCGCCAAGCAGGTCAGAAGAAACATGAAAAGCATGACCAATGGACCAAGACCATCAAGGCTGCATGAGATCTTACATGATCTTATTGGAAGCATTCCCAATAATTAGTCAGTTTTTTCATTCTATTTTATTCGGCCAGAAACATTCCGCAGCGACAGCGACCAAGCCCTGAGGTTATTTGAATCCAGACTTTACTTGCCAGATGGATTGTCCACGTGGCCTCTTTCAGCTGGGCGATAAAGACACGGGACGTGTTTGCACCGGATGTTCTTCCAACTGTACACTTTGTGTCAATGCCACGACCTGCGGCTTGATGAGAAAACTCATGAAAATTCTGGGAGCCAATGGGGGTGTGGTAAGCACAACATTATAACTTCATATAACTTCGCAACTCTCCTATGATGTGTTTGGAACCTCAGGCAGTTGAACTGAACTCTTGCTTGTGCTCCGCCAAGGCACTGAGTGTAGAAACAACAACTACCTCGGTCCAGAATTTCGCTGTGAACCTGAATGCCCGTCGGATCACTACTACGAACCACCCGAATCCTTGAGACAGATCGCCAGGGCCTCAAGGGTCGCACTCTTACTGTTTGAAACTGAACGAATCACAAACATGTACGTAATCTCTCGAGCCTCTCTCTATACATATATCATATATGGTGATCGATCTACATCATTATTACTCTAACATATGAGTAGGTTGGTTGGGTAGGGTCTATATGTGATTTGAAAAGATGGGTTGGACTGCTGGATGACTTATGCCAATTTTGGCTCAAGTCATCCAGGCAGCCATCCTATCTTCTCATGGCTTTGGAGCCGGTGGACTGGCCTGCCTGGAAGGACGCAGCCCGCGACTTCCTCCAGGCGCACCCGTCCGTGGAGGTCCGGGACCTTACGCGGGCGGAGCGTCTGGTGGTGGCGGGGGCCAAACAGGCCTGGGCCATTTGCCACCACAGGGCCGCGGCTGATCTTCGAGCCCTAGGTGGCCAGCCGTGTGATCTGTGCGGCTGCTGGACCTGCTGCTTCTGTGAGGCCTGTGGCAGGCCGCCGCGCGCCGTGTGCACAGAGTGTGACCGGGATCACCTCCTGTGCACCGGTTGCCGCCAGAAAGGGCTGCTCTTCAACGAAGTGGCTCGCAAGGGCGACGAGGAGGTGCTGGAAGTCTCGGGCTACCACGATGAAGAGGGCCGCTTTGTCACCCTCGACCCGCCGGTCAGGATGGCAACAGCATCCATCCCAAGGCAGTCGGACGGGTCCTTCAACGCCGACGAGCTCATGCGCCTCATTGCCCGCAGCCGGAGGGTTGACCCCGCAGCTGGACCTCGTGCTGCATGATGTCCCCAATGACATCCACCAGGCCGTGATGGAGCTGGGCATCCAATCGGTTGGGGACTTCAGGTACATGTGGTCCTCATCTCAGGATTGCTACAGGGAGCTCGAGCAGAAGACCGGCCGGGCACTTCAAGGGCATGAAGCTATGGCCATTGCAGTGGCCTGGACCAATGCGAGGCGGGCCAGCCTGAAGCAGATTGAGGCCCTTGGCGTGGAGGTGGCCCAGGTCCGGAACTCGAGTGTGGGCGTCCCCACTCGCAGGGCCGAGACTCCAGTGCCGAGCCAGCCAAGTGAGGCCTCTGCCAAGGTGCGGCGCCTGGTCCCTTCAGGGGTCCCAGCGGAGCGAGCTCCTATCTTGGTGGCCGCAGCAGCTTCGGATGCCCACGCCAAGGAGGATGCCACCAAGCTGTCGAAGCTGGACCAGCTCTTCCACCTCGTCCTTGACAATGTCCTGAGCTTGGAGGAGCTGGGCGTTACTGCAGCCCAGCTGCAAGACCCCATGGAGGTGCAGCGCCTCAAAGATACTACTATGGCGGGTGCTTCGAGGTTGTCCTCTCAGAGGCTGGGAGCTTTAGCTTCGGCGCTACGGCGTTGGCTTCGTTTCTGTGCCGCCCGTGATGTCAACCATCGACAGCCGACCCCCTTGCTCTTGGCTGATTTCCTCCGGGAGGTATCAGCTGGGGGCCCCACGGCGGCGGCCAGCATGCATGCCAGCCTGAAGTGGTATGCAGCCACCTTTGGTGCCCAGTTCCCGATGGACCATTGGGCCACCAAGCACTTCCGCTTCCATGCGGTGCACCACACAGGCCGCCAAGCACCAGAGCTTGAACCTTGGGAGTTCGTGAACCTCCTCCTGCTGATGAAGAAGTCTCAGGGGACGCACAGGGTGCTGGTGGCCCAGATGTTGATGGCCGCATTGGGGTGCATTCGATTTGAGCACCTCCAACGGTCCAAGTTCGTCACAACCCATGGACCCAGTTTGGAGTTCCAGTGCGCCCAGGGGAAAGCCAGAAAGAAAGGCGCCAGACCTGGCTATGCATGGGGCCTTCCGCACGCCACTCTGGATGGTCAAGGAGTCACACAGACCCTCTTGGACTTCTACGCCAACGAGTACCCGCAGACGAGTGGCTTCTTGCTCCCCGCGGTGTCCCTGAACCCCGAGGAGTTTTGGGAAGTTACAGAACACACCGGGCTCATAGTGAACAAGCCCATGTCACGAAGCCGCTTCCTCGAGCTCCTGCGGGGCGCCCTCTACCAGATCGGGGTCAAGTTCACCAATGCACAGGCAGCGGGATTTAACCGGCTTCGTCGATTCATCCCAACGATTGCGAACATCCTCGAACTGCCGGACCTTGACCTGCAAGCAGTGGGGAACTGGACGGAGATCCCAGCTGGAGGTGGCCGGGACCCCTCAGCTGGGAAACCCCGGGCCCTGATGTCCATGAGGGGTCCACTATGCCGGATCCAAGCTCCTACGATCCTTACAGGTCAAGCAGCGCTGCGTGAACCGCTTCATGAACCTGTTCCACAAGAAGCGCAGGGAGCTTGCGCTGACAGAGGACGGCATGCTTTGCAGGGATGCTTGGCTGTGGCCCGAGTTTGCAGCAGCGCACAAGCTGATCCCAGAGGATCTGAGCGCCTTCGAAGCAGAGGCCAAAGAGGCCATTGAAGTGGCTCCTGGAGCCCTGCCGGTGGAGGAGGAAGTCCCGGCCGGGTCCGGACTTCCTTCGGCGGAGCATTCCTCCGACTCTTCCGAAGACCTATCGAGCTCTGCTTCCGATGTCACGGCCGAAGGAGACGACCTTTGTGGGGTTCCAGCTGATGAAGATGCGGCTGATGACATCCCATGGTTCGTCCAGGGCAGGAAGACCCACCTTGTTCGAGAGGAGATGGAGGGCCGCTTGACGCCCTGGTGCCGCGACTTTCCATTCGTCCAGGAGCACCAAAGCCGTGGCCGCGGCTGTGCTGGGACGAGCAGGGCTGCCTTTTGTGAGCGGTGCCTTAGCCGTATGCCCCGAGGACTGTACCAGTCCCTGGCGGAATATAACAGCTGGGCAATCTGACCCGGCCCATGGCAGGAAAATGTGCCGCGGCTGACACTCTTTGAGTGCCGTGTCGCTGGTTACATGCCTTGATTCTGCCAGGTTTGCCATGACAGGTAGGTTCATGTACCCCTTGGTCGGGTGTCACACGAACTGTCTGGCATGCCCCATTTGTAACTGTTTGTACTTGTTGGAGTTTTGGTTCAAGCCCCCCCTCACGAGGTTTTGAGTGGCTGCCATGACCCGCATTGACGTGCTTCAGGATGACCGAGGTTTGGCTACTTGCTTTCGCGGTGCCAACCTCGAGCAAAGCTGGATCGACAACTACACCAAGTTCCACCAGATCTCTACGCTGGACGACTTCGTCTACATGATCCAGGCCTCCGACTGGGAGAAGTCCCTTGCTGACCATATCGACCAGGTTTCAGCTTTGAAAGGGAACAGAATAGCCCTGGCTCGCTTCAAGAGTGCCTATGAGGCTGGCCATCAGGCCCTGAAACACGCTGCTCAAGCAGCACCCAAGTCAGAAGACTTGGACGAGGCGCTCCCTGACACGACCATCCAGCAGATGAACGTCGACTGGACCAAGAGGTACAACTTGTCCTTCGACTCTGTCCTGGAACCCTCGGAACAGCTGCGTTCCCGGGTCTACAGGGAGTTCAGGAAACAATCCATGACGGTGGTGGACATGAAGAAGGTGAAGTCCGTCTTGACCGTCTCACAGCCTCGCTCCAGTGACTCGATTGCCCTCCCCGGAGGACTCCAGCTGCAGCTCGAGAAGGAGGTCTCCGTGAGCCTCCGCAGCGTCACGGAGTACTACTTCGCCCTGCGGGTACTAGCCCACGCTTGGGCTTGGGCAGGAAACTTCCTGGTCTCCCCATCGGCTCAGGGTGACAAGGTCCTCTTCATGGATTTGTCCAGTGCCTTGCACTACTGTGACCGGGCCCTCAAGGACACCATGGAGTACGGGCACGGAAGCCTTTTGTGGTTGCAACGCAACGACCTCCTTACCCGGGGCAAGATGGCGACTTATATTCGCCGTGGCCAACCTGGCCAGTGGGCCTTGGACAATGCCCTCCGTGACACCCATTTGGAGTGGCGATCCCCGGCTATTCAGCCCTTGGTGGAGACCATCGAGACCGGTGCCAGCAAGCGTGCCGCTGAGCCGGAACCTCCTGCCGAGCGGAAGAGGCAGATCAAGGGCGACTCCTTCAAGACCGTCAGCCAGATCAAAGGAGGCCAGAAGATCTGCAAGCCTTGGAATGATGGACGTGGTTGCAAAGAGGCCAAATGTACCAGCCTCCATTGCTGCGATGTTCGGCTTGAAGAAGGTGGACCGTGCCTCAGCAAGAAGCACACCCGCCTGGAGCATTACTCTGCCTAGGGACAACACCCCCTAGGGACCGTGTCCCGGGGGGGCCCCACGATGGCATCAGCTGCAGAGTTACCTGCCCCACCGCGGCGGGTCGCCCTACCTCAGGCCCCTCAGCCTGTGCCTGGCCCACAGGCTCCGCCACCAGGCCCTCACCTGCGTCAGGTGTTGGTGTGCCATGGCGAAGACGCCCAGACTGAAGGCGATCTGGCGTCGAGACTTAGGGCTTCCAAGCCAGTGACATGGCGAGGGCGGGGCGATTTAGCTCAGGTTCCATGGGCTCCCACGGTCCGAGGTACATGGTTGGTGCTGGACCTCTGGGCGGGCTTCTCCGGCTTGTGCATCGCCCTCCTCCAAATGGGGCTGCATTTTTATGGAGTGGCAGCGGAGTGCGATGAGATCGCTTGCTATGTGGCCAGCACCAACATGCCCAACCTGGTCCACGTGCCGCGGGTTGAACACCTGGCCGCTGCTCAGTTCGTCCCTTTGTTGAGGCGGAGGGCTTTCCGGGGTGTCATCATGGGCGGTGGCAGCCCTTGCCAGGGTAACTCCTCCCTGAACATGAGCCGCCGAGGGCTGGCCGACCCCCGTAGCCAGCAGCCGCTGGAGTTGCAGAGACTCCGCCATGAGTTTTCTATGCTCCCTGAGATGCAAGGCGTGGAGTTGATTGTCTTCTTGGAGAATGTGGGCAGTATGCCGCAACCAGTGCGCGACAGCTACAACGAATGGCTTCAAGCAGAACCCATCATGATTGATGCAGCTGCCTGTGGATGGGTACGCCGCCATCGCCTTTATTGGTTGGCAGGCCGTGCTGGTGCAGCAACTCCATCATTGACTGCCCCCCCCGGTTGGGACTGGGTGCCCGCCGAGGGGAGCGTCCCTGAGTTGCGATACAGTGGCGACAAACCTCTGCCTAATAAGTGCTTCTTTGGCCATGGGTTCCAGCCGATGCTGAACGCCAAAGCGGTGGTATCTCAAGGAGGTCGTGGTGCCATGCATCCATTCACCCGAGAGTTTTACCACCCGGCCGATCGTACCGCCAGCTCATCTGCTGCGGCTGTGGAGCGGTTCATGGAGGACAACCGGCGCTTCCCTCCTTCGGCCTACGAAGAAGCCTCCCTGGTTTGGCGAGATGCGGAATGGCGACAGCCGACCCCACATGAACGAGCGCAACTCATGGGATTGCCTCCAGAAAGCTTTGATTGTGTGCCGGGTGAACCAGCTTTGCGGCGCCAACGCCAGAACAGTTTGATCGGCAATGGGTTCCACCTGTTCTCCGTCATGGCTGTGTTTTGCCTGCTGCCCCATCTCTTGGAAGCCAAGATCCAACATCCCATGGTGGACGTGGAAGAGATCGGCCTCAAGTCCAGACTCCTCCACACGGTCTGGGAGCCCGGCAGGTTGGACCATTTCCCGGGGTTGTCCGACTCTCCACACATCACGGGCCAACTGGCAGCGCTTTTCCCGGACTGCGTCTTTACACCGCAGCTGATGGCTGATGTCCAGAGACGACTGGCCCACTGTGATCTTCATGTTCTCCAAAGCTACGTGGCCTGGTGCCGCCTTCGAGGTATGCCTACGGATGACCTTGGACCACAGCCGTTGGGGCGTCACGAACGAGCACGGATCTATAGTGGACTTTCAGGCCAACGCCACCCCACTGATTCTGCCCGTGGCTTGGATCACTTGTTGCCGCCGGGTCTGGGGAAACTGGGGCACATGGACGCCTCCTCACGGCTTCCTTCACCTTTCCAAGCCACCGAGTGGCCTGAGCATGATGTGGTCTTCACCATCGAGGCCATATGTGTGTGGCGCCAATTTCTGCCGGCATTCTCGGCCAAGCTGCGCCGTACCCTCCGATCGGTAGCCCAAGCGGTTCAACCGCTGGAAGATGCCTTGGATTCCTGGCGTGTGGAGAGTGCTCACCGGGTGGCCTCTACCAAACGTCCAGGCTTTGTGGCCGTGATGACTATCTTGTTAAGATGGCCAGACCGCCTGCAAGCTCAATGCCTTGTTCGCGGCTACCCCATTGTGGGACAGATCTCCCAGACCGGGATCTTCCGGCCCGTGGCTCCTCGGGAAGTTGACCCGCTAGCCAAATGGCTGGAGCACGCTGATGAGGTCGTCGAAGCTTTGGTTCATTCCAAGCCACCCCGCCACGCGGATGATATCCTTGAACAGACGCTTGCGGAACAAGCCAAGGGCTTCTGCTCCCCGCTGATGTCGCGCTCAGCTGTGGATGCCCTTTTTGGACGGGGCCAATGGCGACCGCTGGAGCGGTTCCAAATCGTGCAAGCCGACAACAAGCGGCGCATGATCGACAACGCCCGCCGCACCCAGCATAACAGCCACACATCAATGTCTGAGACGATTTTCACTGTCAGCATCGACTTTGTTGCTGCGGTTGCTGCCTCTATTGCCCGACGCGTTGGTTCTGATCAGGCAGCTTGTGGCGCTGAGATCCCTTGGCTGCGCCTTCGCATCGGGACCGCTGATCTCCCTGATGCATACAGAGGCCTTCCAGTTCTTCCTGAACATCAGCGTTTCTCTGTGGTGGCGATCTTCGTGCCCAACACCGGCTGGCGATTCACATTGCTCTGGGGACTAGCATTTGGCCTTGAAAGTGCAGTTGTGGCCTTTAACCGCTTCCCCCAGCTGGGTATTGCCATCTCTAGGCGTTGTACCCTGGCCCTCACTGCTGCTTACTTTGACGATGAGCTCGCAGTTGAGGCCCTTGCTGATGCCGACGTGTCCCAAGCTGGCCTACGCCTGACCTTCAAATTGATGGGAGCTCCTCCACAACCTGAGAAGGGGTTTGTTCCCGCTGCCAATCGGCATTACCTTGGCACGTCCCTCCATACGGGTGACTTCATGTCTCTTGGGTTTGTCCGGGTACAACCCAAGTATTCCACTTTGGCCAAAGTCGATGCCAAATTGGAGTCCATCCTCACCGAGGGCATCCTTAACCGCGATGATGCTGGTAAGCTCCGAGGCGACATCAATTGGCTTTTCACCATGTGCATGGGCCACCTTGGCAAGATTGCCGGACCGGCCTTGACCAACCATCAACATAATGACGTCACCTCCTTGACGCCGGTGGAACGCCTTCAGCTCCAGGCTCTACATGTTGCAGTTCGTGATTTTCGACCCCGAGACATCCCTGTCCTCCAGGATTCAGAGCCGTTGATCCGCATTTATTCGGATGCTTCCTTCGAATCTGACGTGCTACGTCTGGGCTGGGTCATCTTTCCCAGCCATGGCCGGCCTTTGGGTGGTACGACGGTCGTCCCCCACTGGGTCATCCAAACGTGGCAGCAACGTCAACAGCAGATCTATCCTGGAGAGACTCTTGCCGCTGTCATCGTCCCTATCCTGGAAGCAGCCTCCTTGATCTCCAAGTCCGTCATTTGGTTCATTGATAATGAGGCCGCTGCTGCCGCGTTGATCCGGGCTTCCACATCCGAACCGGATGTTTTGACCCTGGTGCAACAAGCGCACCTGCAGTTTTCCCGTTTGCAGACTAGGATTTGGTTTGAACGGATAGACACCGAGTCTAATCCAGCTGACGGCCTTAGCCGTGACGGCACCAATGACGAGTGGACTTTGTCCCAGCATTGGTTGATCCGTGAGTTCCCGTTCCCACCGTTGCTGGGTCCAGGTGAACTTTTAGAATCTTTAGCTAAGCCGATAGGTGATGCTAACAGTGGGTGAATCTACTTAGCTCTAACAGTGGGTTTGGTTTGTGTCTAAAGTCTCTTTGACACATAACATCTCAGGTGTGTTTGGAACATCTGTGATTTCCAACCATCCTGTTTATACCCATTGTTATTTAATAACAATGTCCCATATTAGCATCTACAGCGGCTCTAGCTTAATCTCACTACTTTTGGATAGCGCAGGAAAAGATAGCGGCCTTAGCTTCCAGAGTGTTCAGTCTGTCCCTTCCAATCTTTTCTTACTCTAACATATGAGTAGGTTGGTTGGGTAGGGTCTATATGTGATTTGAAAAGATGGGTTGGACTGCTGGATGACTTATGCCAATTTTGGCTCAAGTCATCCAGGCAGCCATCCTATCTTCTCATCCCTCCCTCCTCTCCCTGATCCCCTCTGCGGGGTGATGGGGGGGTGGGCTATGAAGGGCTTCCAACCCCCCTGGTTTACCCTTCCTTTTGGGTCAGGGTCGGGTTTGGTTTGTGTCTAAAGTCTCTTTGACACATAACATCTCAGGTGTGTTTGGAACATCTGTGATTTCCAACCATCCTGTTTATACCCATTGTTATTTAATAACAATGTCCCATATTAGCATCTACAGCGGCTCTAGCTTAATCTCACTACTTTTGGATAGCGCAGGAAAAGATAGCGGCCTTAGCTTCCAGAGTGTTCAGTCTGTCCCTTCCAATCTTTTCTCATTGTATACATTACAGTTTGTTAAGGGCTAACACCTCCTGCCGCCCGGGGGTCCGGCAGGAGAATGTACCGCACATTTACTTTTCCCTTCATAGGTAGCAACCATTCCGAAGGTGAGGCTTCGCCACAGCCAAATACCATGGTGTTGAAGCACATCCTTGCACCTGCCGCTGGTACTGCCTAACGTTGCTTTCTGAAGTCTCAAGAAACAAGCTCCACATGCAGCAGCTAAGCTTCTAAAAGTGAGGCTTTGCGAGAGCCAAGCACCAAGGTCCCTGGTGTTTGCTTTTCCTCTGATGCGCCCCCTGCTGATGGCTGGGGCCTGGGGATAGGGGTATTTTCGCGAAAGTTCTGCGAAAGTTCTGTGAAGGAGAAAGTCAAAGTGCATTTTGAAGGGAGTGGCCCAGTAAGCCTGGCGAAAATTGCTTAATCGGCAACAACATGTCCTGAGAAGGGGATTCCGTGATGCTAGCTGCATGTTTAAAGGCTATGAAGAAGTTATCTGTGATAATTTGGTGTGATTTGGCAGGTGATGAATGAATCTTCATAAGAGGAGTTGTTGCTCAACATGGGTTCCGCGAAAGAAACATGGAGGTCGTGAAAGATTCGCGAAAGAATTTTTTAATTCGCGAAGAGTGGCCGTTTACAGATAAAGGAACTTAGATCAACCGCCATGTTAGTTATAGTTATAGGAATAGTACAGTAGTAGTATACAGTGGCCTTCGGTTGTTGTTGAGGAGTTGAGTCGGAACCTCCTATTCCCTGGCGCGCTCCCCCTTGCTTGGCCGGGGTGGGCGGATATTATATATATATAGTTTTATGTTATATATTTGAATTACACACATACACACACACACACATATATATATATATACACATACATATATTCATATATACACATACAGATACATCTCTATCTGCAACATAAAATGCATCGTATCATCCGAGGAATGGAAGGAACTGCGGGATCAGAGCTGTGGCGGCGGCGAGCTGCGCACCTGGTCTGGCGGCACGGACTCCAGGCCGCTGAGGAATCCTATAATGATCCATTTAATAATGGTAAGGGCCGGTCCATTTATAAATTAGTATTGGTTGATATTTTCAATATGTGATAATATTACATGTCTTTATTATCATTATATACTCTTACTAAATTATTGATGTGGATTATTCATGGGTACCATGTATCACTATCATTATTACCAATACTATTATTACTATAAATTCATTGTGCTTAGATGGGAGCAACATTTGAACCATGATCATCATGATCATTGCTGTTCAACATTTACTCATATCACTATTGTTACGTTTTTTTTCTTGTTGTTGTTGTTGCTACTGCTGTTGTTTTTGTTGTCGTTGTTGTTGACGATTATGATGATGGCGATGTTGTTGATGGTGGTGATGATGATGATGGTGACGATGTTGCAGTTTTGCAGCTGGGATGTACTGACTCCTCATTTCTGATAGAAGAGTTGGGAACTGCAATCTAGAGACTCACAATCTGACATGGCAATGGGCAGTTTCTTACTGAATCTCCTCTACTCCCGCCAAGAAAACATTGGATGATTATTTTTGGTTTCCAAATTAGATCTCCAAAAGGTAATCCATCTCATACTGCCAGGTTTGGTGAGGGCTTCGTGGAAAATGTGCCCGGCTGCCAGCTGATGTGCATGGCGAGGGCTGAGTGCGCTGGCTTTGAACTTCGTGCAGTCCTTAGCTGCGGACGATTGCGAGTGCCAGCGTTACCTCAGCCGTGAAAGTTGGTGAAGAATAGGAGTATAAGAGATGTTTGACCAAAAAAATATATGACTGGTGCCTGCTGGCCATGATCTACTGAGGTGAGGATAGCAACAAATGCTCTTTCTGGATGGGCGACACTTTGTCACCACGTCCTGCGAAGGGGATTCACTGCTTTCGCAAAGTAGGCCGCTTGACTACATCCTTGGAGGCATGTGTTTAACTAGCCACAATCAGAATCATAGAAGCACTGCGGTCCAAACGTCCTTCAGCCGGAGCGCAACAGCGATGGTTCCTTCACACAAGGGAAGGCTGGGTAGGTTAACCCCTGATACCTCCTTGATTCAGCCTTTGAGGCAGGCTTGATTCTCCAATAGAAATCATGGTACCACCCATAGATTCAGCTTGGAGTTCTACAAGCTCTACCCAGCCCCAGCTCCCTCTGTGGATGCCAAGACCTCGTGCCCCAGAAGGGGAAATCTGCAGCTGGAGAAGTGGTGATTCCAGCCGCGGGCGTGGCCTCTATGAGCAAACTGGATGCAATTGGATTGTTGGGTTGATATGACAATATGTATACAGCATTATGCAGCTGTGTACGGGACGTGGTTTGCAAGACCAATTCCATGTTCCATTTCTGAACATTTCTTCCCTACTTGGTGAGAGCATGGCAAATAAAAGGTGCTCAAGTAAAATAATTCAAGCAAAAAACATAGGCACTATATTGCTATATATATATATTGTGTTTCTTTTGCTCAGTATCATATTGCTTTCTCAGTGCGATTTTATACTTGCCACCAGCTGCAGCATCCTTCTCCACTCACAAAGCTGTCACCCTGAGGTTCACGTCTTGAGACTGCTCCAGCCAAGCTTTGTGGCTTGGTCAATCAGGAACGGTAACACCACTGTTCCATGAGTATCCTCCAACAGCAGAAAATCAGCACCAATCTTTTGATAATATACATTATTTTACATCATACATATGTGTATATATATATGTAAGACTTTGGATCTGGCCATGTTCACAAACAGTCCAGAACCATATTTTTCTTGTATCTTGATCCTTTAAGATCGACCCGTGAGGGTGAAAAGGACAGAGTGACATAGTGACACCTTTTGAATTCGGAACTCTATCAAACAAGCCACGGGTTTGTTGATCCGTCATCCCCAAGCTCGAGCAGTTTCACACTCAACCGTGACCAACTGATACCAATCATATATCCGATCATTTTTCAGTTGGCTCAAGTTGTCCACATTTGTCCACCACAAAATTGGGATAGTTTGGCACACCCAGAAAAAACGCGCCCAACTGCCCAACCTGGTCCTTGCCAAGGCAACGATGGACTCGTCTCGACGCGTTGTAGCTCCATCTGGAACGATGCAGCTGGGGAGCTGAATCCGTGGTGACTTGGGCCATGCTGGGGGTGTTTTGGAGGATCCGTGGTGATAGGAAGCTTGCGATAATAAAATACAGCGCGAGCGATATAAGCATGTTTGTTGCCGATGGCCAGGGTCCCTCAATTCTTATCGGAAAGGCCCCATGTATGTCAGTGTATATGCACAATTATTCGGTCGAGGGTCCCTTAATTTCTTAGCATTTCACAAGCAGTCAGATTTGAAGATGTAAGAGCGGGGTTGCCTCTGCGCAGCTCCCTTCATAAGCCATTTCATGGTTAAGAAAATTGAGCAGGGGCGCAAAGGGGCTCCTTCGCATACATCTAAATTTCTTAGCCGTAAAAATTCCAGGGTCCCTCAATTTCTTATCTTCCATTCGCATATATATTCCACAGAACATATATGCGGCAAACAAATCCAGCCCTTCATTTTCTTATACAAGGAATTCTTATACAGTGCTTGGATTGTAAAATAAAATAAAATATAATATGATATAATATAATAAAATATAGTATAATAAAATATATAATGTCATTTAATATGATATAATATAATTTAATATAACATAATATAATAAATTGTAATATGATGAAATATATTTTAGTGAAATATAATAAAACATAATATCATATAATTTAATATCATGAAATATAATATGATATAATATCATATGATATTATGTATATGTGTATTGTATACATATATGCATATATATATATATTATGATACCATATTGGACTTGTTTTCTCAGATGATTTGAACATATCTTTGGAGCATACTCCAAGTCCCTTCAATACCCCAAATGAGAGGAATCCTTCCATAAATCATCTTTAAATGGAGAGGGGTACGCTCTAGGCCCTCTAGGGGTCTGTTTGAATTTTCTCTGACTGTTATAAGACGTTTTGCAGCCAGATTCTTTGCCAAACGGTGCCACCAACTGAATGCATGGCAAACTGTTGGCAAGAGTGCTGCGTAAACCACAGGTGACCTTGCTTAACTTGACTTGTTCAGATGGATTCCCAGCAAAGCAAAGTAACCATATGCTGAAGTGATGCCAGATTCCATCGATTGCCAGCTGGTGAAAGGTGGCAGATGGACTTGGGCAGCAAGGAGTCCTTGGTAAAGATTCGCATTTTGAGCGACCCCGATGGCTGCGAGGCACCCACCAAAACAATTTCCTTTTGTTTTTGCCTTGGTATGCCTTGGTAACGACTCCCACAATGGTGGCGGACATCGGACTGGCAGGCCATGTCGGAGGAGGCTACCGGTCTCCACTGTTCTTTGCTTGGTGGAGTGGTGGGGGTGAGCTCTACGCCCTGCGAAAAAGGTGCAGCAGCAATGATATCTTTTTCCGTGCTGTATGTTTAGCCAACATGGTGACTTTCAGGGATGATGTGCCGAGACGTTTTGCGACAACTTTCAGTTTTAGCCCAGTTAGTTGCCACTCCAGGCAAAATTTGCAAGGGAACGGTGTGTGGAAGCTTTGGCAGCAAGAGTTGATATGATTACCTAGAGGCAACTCACAGCTGCCTTCAAATTTTAGACCCAAGTGAAAGGTAGTGGTCTGAATCTTTTATTTTCAATGTGATTTTTTGGATGCGGTGCTGAGAGGTTCTTGCTTCATCTTGCTTCTAGAAATGCCCGTGTGGCGCTAAGGAACCCTGACAGAAACCACTGACAAGTGGTACGAGGTCTCGTGTGACCGAGCTGAGGGGCGCTATGTCTACCTGCAGCTGAAAGGATGGGCGCAACGGGTGGCAATGGTCATTGGATATCATTGGGTAAACTGGGTAAACAGCCATGGGTAGAAACCCGCCACTGCGCTGGCAGGGTACCGGGTGCTGAACTTCTACGAGTTGGTGGCATACAAGGCTGAATGTTTTTTTTTGGGGGGGTTGTGCTGTAGAGTATTGTTTTGATCAGCGTGTTTTGCATTTTCTATGTGATCTTTCGATTTGGTTTGGCACATGATTTCCAGTGCCCAACATGTCCGCGGAGGTGTCTGAGACTGAATCATGCACGGAGACTTGGCAGTTGACCAACGTCAAGCAGAAAGGCGCAAAATCGGTGAATCTCCTACTCACTGGATTTGTCTGAAAATAGGATACCCCGAAATCCTCTGGTTTATTATCATCTTGGGGTTTTTCCCACGGTTGGAAACTCCCAACTGGTTCATCGGGTTCCAGATAGAGGGAGCCGCTTCCTCGATCTCGGAGCTGGTAGGCCATACCTTCACAGCTGACAACGAAGAGGGCGGCAATGCCTTTGCAGTGGCAGGGCCTGTGTCCGGCATCGCTTTCATGCCTGGTCAGGACAGAAACAGAAGTGGTTGGCCATGGTTGGTGGTAGCAAACTTTTACCCCAGGGGGTTATGGGTCAACAATTCTGGGTAGCCCTAAAAATGTATCAAACATTGTGTAGATGGTTCAATCATGTTCAATCCAACAGACACATGTGTGATTCCATATTTTTATATGTTTGCGATTTCAATAGTTTGTGAGTTCCCGGCACTAAAAAGTGGGAAAGGGATGTTATAAGATACTGTATATGGTAAAGATGTGGATGAAATCCTCTTACGTACCAACCGGGCCGGGCACTGCGAAATTCTACCGGGTGATGTTCCAGGACGATAGGCCCCTATGGGTTGGTCTCACCACTGATCCCACGGATGAGAGAGACTTTAAGAATGGGAAGTTCATCCAGTTGACGGCCAGTGGCTCTGTTGCCATTGAACCTCGGTGACTTCGGTGTTGAATGATCTAAAACTTGGGATTGCCATGAGAAAAACATGATGTGTGAAGTTCAGCGTTCAGAGATATGACGAGCTAAGGAGGGAGCCTTTGAAGGTTTGACCTACACTAGGGAGGATTATTTTCGATTGGAGCTCAAAGGCTGGCTGCCGGGACTGTGATTGGACCCTAAATCAACAGGCGATTCGGCCGTTTCAGCCGATTTATGGCAATGGACTGTGCTCCGTGTCGGCTAGGTCGGGAAGTGATCATCTACAAGAACGGAGCCTCACTTCACAGCTTCAAGCTGGATTCCAGCGGTTCACTGAATGGTTGGTACACCATGATTTGGTGCCTAGAGCTGCAAATTATGCTGGTTGGCATGAACTCTGAACTTTCTAGCTGCGGCATACTAACCGGAGTGCCATATTTTTGGCTGAACCGATGTCAGGTTGCGGACAGGCCCCCACCGGCTGCAACATGAGATGATATGTGCCTTGAAACTGAGGTTTCCAGAGACCAAGCCTGATGATGCCGCCCCTTGGCTGTAGCACTTTAGTATCAAAGAGGCTCAAGCCACAGGAATCTTTGGGATCCTGGCGAAACGATGCAGCTACCTAGCAATTCCGGCTAAGGCTGCGTTCGTCTCCAGAGTCCAAACGACCTGCTTTCCGCTGCAAGAAGGAGTGGGTGGCACATGCGCGAAGTGCCCAAACCACGTCAGCAGGCGTCGTTCGCAATGTTGTCCTTGTACTGTTTGGTTGCCAAAGAGGCATGCTTTTGCTGTTTTTTTTCTTTTTTTCCGATGAAGTTCATCCCCAGCTGTCCACTGCTTGCTGTTCTGTTTATGCCTAGCATGACTTCGAGAGTCAGCTTGGCACGGGGAAGTTAAACGTACAATGCAAATTATTGTAATTCATTGAATATTGTATAAAAATCAGCATAAACCATGTATAAATACCATCATACACCCATACGTATAATTATACGTGCATAGTATGTATATTATCTAGACGCACATGGACAATATAGGTACTAGGTACATCTCGCCCCCGCTTTCTCTCTCTCTATCTCTCTATCTCTCTACACGATCTTTTGTGCTTGTGGCAGGTGCGTCAACGAGACTATTGCCTTGGAGTGCAAAGATGATCCCTTGCGAGAAGACATATGGATGTTTTCTTTTTCCCTGAATGCGTAGCAAGGGTTCCCGTTTCACTCTGGGGGTCTGGGGGCTGAGGGTGTGTTCGCTCGACGTTGCGTTTACGTCCGCAACCGTTCGCAATCGTTCGCAACCGTTCGCAGCCGTCCGCAACCGTCCGCAACCGTCCGCAACCGTCCGCAACCGTCCGCGCGATCCCTGTATGGCCATGCCTATGGTAAGTTCTGCAAAAGGGGTCACTTGTGGAGGTTTCACATGTGGCGTTGCTTCGCTTCGCGTGGCAGGCGTGGCACTTCGTGACATTCAGACGTGTTTGGTAACGTGTCGAAAGTCGTTTTGTGTGGCAGGCGCAATACTTTTGCGACGTTTTCAGACGATGTGTTGCAGTTTTCATGGCAGGCGCAGCACTTTGGACGTGTCCATCGTCATTTTTCGTGGCAAGCGCAGCACTTTAGACGTGTCGTGTTGCGTGTTTTTTGCAAATCGCATTGGCAGTGCTGCGTCAAGTGGCGACAAGGTGCAAATTCCGTGGCAGGCGTGGCATTTTGTGCGATGTGCTGAAAATTGACGGACGCCTCGCACGAAACATCGATTTTGAGGTTGCAAATTTTCAGGTTCTAAGGAAAACTCGTAGGAAAACGTCGATTTTGAAGCTACAAAGTCTGAAAATTGGAGGAGGTCTCGCACGAAATGCTCGTTTTGGTGCTCCCACCTGTCTCGTCTCGCGTGACTGGTTTTCCTGTGGCCTCGCCGTGTCTATGGGGGAAGCTGCAAAACCTGTCCTTTTCGAAGGTTTCCAAGCAGGTTGTCATGTCGTTTTGCGTGGCAGGAGCAGGACTTTGTGACATTCCAATTTGATAACGTGTCGAAACCGTTTTGTGTGGCAGGCGCAATACTTTTGCGTCGTTTGCGCAAGATCCTAGTTGCACTTGTCGTGGCAGGTGCAGCATTTTGGAGATCTCTATCGTCATTTTGCGTGGCAGGCGCAGCACTTCAGACGTGACGTGTCGTGTTGCGTGCTCTACACTCCACACTCCACCCTTTACACTTCACACTTCGCACTCTACACTCCGCACTTTACACTCCACACTCCACACACTACACCCCACACTCCACACTCCACACTTTACCCAATGCACACTCCACACTTTACACTCCACACTCCTTACATTACACTTCGCAATCCACCACGCTCTACGCTTTACACACTCCACACTTTACACTCCACAATTGCACTCCACACTTCTTACTTTACACTCCACACTCCACATTCCACACTACACTTTCCACTCCACACTCCGCACTCCACACTTTACACTCCACACTCCACACTTTACACTCCACATTCCGCACTACACTTTCCACTCCACACTCCGCACTCCACACTTTACACTCCACACTCCACACTTTACACTCCACACTCCACACTCGACACTTTACATTCTACACTTTACACTTGACACTTTAAACTCTACACTCCACACTTTACACTTTACACTCCTCACTCCACACTTTACACTCCACACTCCACACTTTATACTCCACGCTCTACACTCCACACTCTACACTTTACACTCCACACTTTACACTTTACACTCTGCACTTTACATTCCACACTTTACACTCTACACTTTACACTCTACACTGTACACCCACACTCTACACTCCTCACTCCACACTTGGCACTCCACACTTTACACTCCATACTTTACACTCCAGACTCCACACTCCACACTTAGCACGCCACCTTCTTCCATATTCCTCAGTCCACGGTGCACTGGTATGGTAACAGGGGAAAATGTACAAGACTGTTCAAATAGTGTTCCGTGTGACTGCATATCCATCGTTTCGACATCTGTACCATTAACATACGTGTGAGCATTCGGCTTCGTGGGCTGCATCTTGTTTTTTCTTCAAATATCGGTGCAGGTTTGATGCTCGAACATCCAGAAGATTTATATATATCATCTGAAATCTCTGTTTGAAGACTTTGACAGGTCACCCCATGCAACCTGAAAGCTGAGGAAATGTTCCTGCAGCTCACTCATGTCTGTGAACCTGAGTGTCCCGAAGGTCAATTTGAGACCGATGGGGTGAATGGCGTAGGCAGGACACGGACGGCTTGTGATGAAAGAAATTCGTGTTCGGTCCAAACGAGTTTAGAGCCTCTACAGCAAAAGAGGCCACATCAGAAGCCAGTGAGACGTTATTTTTCGAATTTGTTTCATTTGGTGGTGACTTTGTTTTGGAAGAAATCCAAATGGTCTACGGGCAACTGTGTAGAAGAAGAACTGGTTGATTGCAGGCGGCTACTGCAACTTATGCCATGAGAATTGATTCTTGGTCTGCAGTGAAAGTCCAGCCTGCTTGACACTGACCGTGACACCATAGACATGAAAACTATGACCTGATCGGATGGCACTAAGCAGTCCAAATTTGGTTGCCCGCGGGCAAGCTGATTGGAGAACTGTCAAGAGATACAGCAAGATGTCTTCCTTCAGCAACGGGCTTTAATAAAAGGTACTTCCTGATACTTAGTGTTGCTTTCCTTTCTGTGCTTGCGCAGCCGCCCGCGTCTCCCAGGCAAGACATGTATGAATGCTACAACCTGTTTGGAGTGCAAGAATCAACACTATCTCACCCATGCATCTGGGTTTGCAAGTCAGTCGATATCATTCGGGCATGTCAAAAACTTGGGTACCTGCCCAGCAACCAGGGCATCTCCACAAAAATATATACAGACCTGATGAAACGCTGGATTTTTCTGGATTTTGGTGGATTTCTTGGATCTCCCAGCTTAGTCACAGCCGCTGCCTTGGCTTTTTTCACGCATTGGAACTGCTTGGGGACCTGGCGAGGACTTCAAGTGTGCCCCGGAGTGTCCCAGCGGTTACTATGGCGTGAAGAGCGATGACTGGGACGATGGTCTCGGTGCCTTGGGCAGAATGGTGATCTTCATTTTCGAATATTTTAGAGCTGATGCTCATCGTCGGCTTCGCCGGACTACTTGACCCGATGTCATCGCAGGGTGGGCTTGAAAACTATTGAATGAGGACCTGCTGCTTCAGAAATAGAAATATATTCCGTATGCTTTTTTGAACACACTCCTGGATGTGTAAAAACTTCTGTGTGAAAAAACTTCTGCGAGTAAAAGCTTCTCTGTGAAAGACTTCTCTATGTAAAAACTTGTGTGTGTGTGGACCATCTGCACAGATGTAAAACTTCCTTTGGTTGGTTGATGGTTCTTGTTTTTCTTGTTTTTGAATTATGTTTGCAGGGGGCACAGGCCCATTGTGGATACCTGTGCCAACGAAGCTATTCCACAATGGGGGAAGCGGAGATTGATCACCTCCGTGTACCTGCAATTTCCAATTTCCGAAATGGCGACCGGCCAAGCCAAGAACCGGCATGTCGATTAGTTTTCAATTTCTTTCCTGCACAGTTGCCACAATCTGGTTTATGACGTTCATGACTGATAAAGCTCCATCAGAACCTTCCTCAGAGCAAGGGCGTAGAAAGCATTCTTCGGACTGAAATTCACGATGGATCAACTAATTTTCTCCTGTCAGACTGTAATGGATTGTTTGTGCACGATTGATGCACTCCACATCAGTAATTCGATAAGATATTTCTGAGCAAGTGTGTCACTCATACCGTTGTCCGACAAGGTGGTATGAGCCCTTCGGGGAAAGCCTTTCTAGGCTAACAATTGACGGTAAAACGATGTCTGAATTTACATTTTTGAATTGGTAATTCGTTTAAGTATAGTGAACTGCTGGCCTTTTTCCTGGTTTCACCCGTCGGTCGTGAAGTGTTGAACAACTGGCCGCCGTATCGGGCCTCCCTATTTTTCAGCCACCTGGTGCCTTTGCATAGCTGGAAGCCACGACAACAATTTCTTTTTTCTGTGAAGCTCAAGAGACTGCCCGTAGCCATTTTGACATGAACAGGTAACAGGACATGCTTTTCAGGTGTGGTCTTTTTCCCTTTTGGTTGCGTTGGTGAGGTTGAAATTGTGCACTTAATTCAGGGGTTGACTACTTAAGCCGTCTATAGGGTTGGAATCTGACTGCCGAGGGCCCTAGAGCCTTATCACGATCCTTGCATGACTTGTGGATGCATCATATTTTGTGAACTAATTTGTTAAAATCGTCTGACAGTGCTGCCATGTTTCCTGGACGGTTTCCAGCCGCCTCCGACAATATGTGGACCTTCTGGAATCCACAAGCGATGGGACTTCAAGGTCAATTTTGTGGCAGTGATCTTATGAACCAACAGTCACAAGCTCAGCTCCAAGCTCAGACTCAGGCACAATTGGCGGCTCTCAGAGAGCAAAATAACATTTTGAATCAACAATTGGGAGTACAAGCTCAGACACATATCCAGCACCTT